GAAAGCCACGTAACTTCTTGTTTTTCATTTCAAACTTCAATTACAGGATGTTGAAAGCAACAGAAATTTGTTAAACCTGCAGGTTAATGAGAAATTTTCAACCCAGTGACATTCACAGACACAAAATATCCGTTTTGGAACCTGATATTTTGAACAGCTCCTGAAAACAGTCTTAGAAGAGACACATCTTCTATTTTAAGTTTATATAGACTTTCTGTCTTGTTGAGATAGAAGGTTATCCTGCTAAAGCTGCAAGACATTGGGAAATGTTTAAAGGGATATTCTGGCGTAATATTACGTAAGGTTCAAACACACCGTAACACTGAGTTAGACACCCAGTCGAGAGATAAATGTTGCAGACCGCTTGCTTCTGTAGTTAAACCAACTTTAGTAATGACTGCACGATAGCAATACAGAGAGCCACGCGCTCAACCAAAAAGCCACTCTATAGTCACAAATAATGTTCAGAACAGCACCGAACTTCATCAACAGTACATATGAGGTCCCAGCCATAGCACTAGCCACTAAACATCTTTTTAACTTTGCCTGATTTCTTTAGCGAAGAGACTCACACTCTCTCCTCCAGCAGCCGTTTGTTTGTACAGAGACCTCTGGGCGAGTCCATCAACTGCAGCAGGGGTACACACCTCAAGGAAGAACATTTATGATCATTACTTTATCATTTTCTTGAAGTAATAATCATCATAATAATCATTTTGTGCTGTAGACGTGATAGTTCTTCTGCCTTAGCGTCTCGGTCTGATTATATTTCCATGAAGAAATGACAAAGGGGCGGCTCATGAGTGGATGTTGTGACAGTTGCAAATTCATAATGACTCTGAACTTTTGTAAAAAGGAGTTAAGTTGCAACATCCAGTGTTAAGAAATAAAGCCACAGCAAACTGCAGTTCCTCTAGCTTCCACATGACGCTCACCCCAAAAGCCAAGGAGACTCCTTTAGGTCCTGTGTTAAAACGCCTCATCTTACAACAGAATTGAACACATTTACAGCCTGCTTCAAAAACAGTGTTCATCCAAATGGCTTGTTTTTCTTATATTTACACTCTATATGCTGGTTGAGTTTTTATGACTCATCTGTTTTGATTATATCAAGATGAAGAGTTTTGCATAAATTTGCATAATTTAAGAGCGTTGCTTAATTAGCAGATGGGTGGGTGAGTGTGTTGTTGCTGTTTGCCAGGGGGCTGAAAGCTTGACCCAGCTCCACCTCTTTACCAGAGTTAGGATTCAGTGAGTTGGAAAAAATTCTTCAGAACCCAACGGCTGATACCTCACCGAGTAAGTCCATGTTTTAGTCTGTCTATGATGAAAAAACTGTGAAAATCAGCCGCAGGAGGGGCTGTGAAATCTTGACTTTTAGTCAGTAGTATGGGTCAAGTTTCAAAGGACTGGTTCTTACAGTTTCCCCTCTGCAGCACATCAATATCTACTTTCTCTTCCATGACTTGAAAAAAATGCCAAATATCAAACTTCAATTTTTAATACAGGTCAAATACTTCAAGTTTGTTCGGGAATAGTTGCACTAGTGGAGCTATAAAATATTAAATAAAAATATTTTAAAAGGGTGAAGAAGAGTTTCTGTTTAGTGAAAGGTATAACTCGTAATTGCAGATGTATAAAGATTTAGGACTTATGTTAAAAGGATTAAAGTAACAACTATCAATTTATCAGGAGCTAATCGAAGCTTCGGACATTGGTCTCTACAATTCCCAGAACTTAATAAAACAACAGTGGAGCAAAAAGGCAGTGATTTCAGGAAGATACGGGTGATGGCAAATTCATACATTTTGGGACTTAAAGCTCCTGTGAGGAGTTTTCAGCTGGTTATTAAACTGACTGAAATTATAGTTTTGTCCACAGGTGGTGCCAAAATCACCCCAAATGGAAAGTTTCTCACAGGAGCTTTAAGTTAAAGTAAATGCAAAGAGAAAAGCCTGTCGTTGAGAGGAGGCTAAGAAAATCTGATTTTACAGGGTGGAGATTGATCATGATTTGGTTGCCACAATTGCCATTTACTCCTACAATTAACTATCTATTTGGTAATGACAGTCTTAGTTCCAGCATGAACCAAACCAGAAGCAGCCATCTTGGCAGTAAGGAAAATACCTAAACGATCCTTAGAGCCATCCTGAGAGAGATAAACGCTCTGATTGGCCAGAGCTCGATTAAGCTGGATGTGAATCAATCTGGGCAGGAGGGGGAATACACGCATCTGCCAGAGCAAATAAATCCTGAGTTTACATATCTGTCGGTTCCCAGGCTTTCACCCAGCTCAAGATGACATCACAGTGATGAAATCAGGGTCATTATTTTGATTCTTTTGAAAGAGAAATAAAAAGTTCAATGAAGCTGTTTTTACAGGCTGGGACATGCTCTCAATGATGAGTAAACTGACCTTGGAGGACTGGCCCTTTAAATCTATCTGTCAATTAACTTGTCACATAAAGCTCATGTTTGAATCAATTTTTGCTCTCCTGTCTTATAATCCTGCACAGTTTCCTGAGTCAGTACAGTGCCTCGTTGTTCCTGTCCTTCCCCATGGAGCCGGATTACAACTCAGAGACATTTTGTGACCACTGAAGTGTTTAATAGAAGAATCTCAGAAAGCATCTGTAGTTTGATCTGCTTTGTGCACTCATCAATAAGTGAACTCTTAAAGCACGATACTGCTGCTGCTGCTGCTGCTGCTGCTAAATATTTCCATCTTTGTGTGTGTGTGTGTGTGTGTTTGACTCTGTGTGTGTGTGTGTGTGTGTGTTGCTGACTGAAGGCTGTGCACTCTCTTCTTGGGTCACTTCCAAACCGCCTATAATTGATGCTTTTGAGTGAGCGCTCCATGCAGATCTGTCTTTGTCATGCTCGATATATTACATTTATTCAGTGCAAATCATCCAGCCAGGGATTGATTTGATTAATGACTCAGTGACACATTATATTCATGTTATCCATCGCTCCTCCATGCCTCTCTGTGACTCTCCTGCTGTCTGTCTGCACCTTAGTGACCCCCGGTGGTGTGGAATTTATGGTGCAGTGTTCAGGACCACGGACAGCGTCAGAGTTCATGAAATTGATCACTGAAGTAATAGAGCATTGTGGGTATTTAATGAGTAACAGTTTTGGGCATGCATATATCATCATACACCACATATTTTAATGCCCTGTTAAATATTTCATTAAGCTCTCTCATTAGTGAAAACACTTGGTATACAGTTTTAACATAAAGCTTATACTGTATAAGCGGAGCTGCTCTATCATACAGAACTGCTTTTATTGCAACGCGGCATTTTATTACTTACATTTAAGCTTCAAGTTCCCAAACTAAGAGGAGAAAGTAAGAGGATATTGGTGCCTACAACTGTAAATGCATTTTATCTCTGTGGGCTTTTGCATTTAAGTACATTGCAGATTGTTATTGGAGGGCTAATAACAGTTTTTATTGCACTTTAGAGGTGTCTGCGGATCTGTTAGTATGACTTTTTAATTAATGTTTAATTCCTTTCTAAACATAGTTTCAGCCCACAGTGCCAGCAGAGCATTTTTTTTCACCCTACTGTCTGTTGGCTCTCTCTCTTGTTTTGTATAAAAGCGTGAGTTTTATGAGTAAACATTTGCTTCTTCCTGCAGAGACAAAAGTCTTGCCCTTCAGAAAGTGCAGCTGTTTGTTAGCGACGCGGTGCCAATAACAGCGGCCTTTGCTGCAGCACGCAGTCGGCGGAATATGTGGAGCGAAGAGTTTGATTAGCCCAGAGGCTCAGCGGGGAATTCATCTGCTGCCAACAATCAATGAGCAGGCTGCAAAGCATGCCAATCAGATTTATTGGTTTCTCCTTGCTTTTGGGTTATCACATGCATTAACCAGCGCCAATATAATACCTCCTTTTGTTGCTCTGTGAAACTGTGGGTCTGTGGGTCAACCACACTGAAATATCTCAGCATCCATTAATGTAATATTAAACTGTTATAAAGCGTCACCCTTTGGCGTCCCCCGACTTCTCCCCCAGCCATCAGGAGGCTGACATTTGTGGTTTTAAGTGAAATGTCAGGGCAATAATTGGATGGGTTGCCATGAAGTTGAGTACAAATAACCATCAATGGTGCCCACAAGAGAAACCTTATACTGCAAAAACCAATACTTCAGCGAATCTGTTTGTCTCACGTCTAGTTAGAAATGTCTCAAAAGACTCCTGTAAGCCAGGAACTTGTGACAAGTTGTGGAAAACATCTTTGTTAGGTATTTGAAGCAAAAAATAAACCTGAACTGCTTGTAATGAGTAAAACATCTACCTGTGCATTCAGTGAAACTTGTCAAGTTTCTTATAATTGGAATAATGTTTGATTTCAAGTGAATATGGCTAATATGCTAACTCTAATGATTTGTATTTCACTGGAAATAAGACATATTACAAAGAGCTTTTGATTTGGTTTTTGCAGTGTAATCTTTTGGATTTTGTAGCATGTATTTGTAACCAAATACATAACGGCTCCCATTATGTAGTGGATCCAAAATGCTAACATGAAATGTTTAAACCTCAGTGGAAACATTTGCACAGTAGCGATGCGCGCATTCGGCCACACAGTCGCCAAGAGTCGCTGTGATGACGCTCAGCTCAAACAGCGTATCCCCCCAGGTGAGCTACACAATCCCTGGACGCTCATAGGCTGTATCAGGTGTCAATCATAGAAAACATGACCCCTATTAATAACTTTTAAAAACGGAGCTTCACAGAAAAGAACGAACCAGTCTGACAGTAACTACATGTCAACATCACAACCAGGGGGGAGAAAAATTTATGTTCTGTGTAATAAATTTCTAAAGTTTGTCCACAGCCCCATAAACTTTGCTGGCAGAGGCGGGATTTATGACCTATACTGCAGCCCATCAACAGAGGGTGCTGTTCTCGGAGTGGCTTCACTCAGCGAGGAGGCAGACTCTGTCCATCTTATATACCATCTATGTTGCAAGCATATTAGCATACTACTATAAGCATTTAATACAGAGCTGCTAGCACAGCAGCAGACTGTCAGTCATTTTGCATGATCAGTTTCGAGCTCCCATGAGGGACTTTTTATTTGTGTCAATTTTGGCGCCCCCTGTGGACAAAGCAGTCTCTGTTTATTTTGTCTTTTATGTGCGTTACTAGCTTTCAAAAACTTATCCTGCTGACTTTTAACAGCCAAATGTTTAATTTTTTATTCAATTTTTAAGTCAAATTTTCAAATTTCAAACTATGGCTACCACCTCACACTGTTTTGTTTTAACATAAAAATGGTCAGTCTTGATATCATCTTATGTCAGTCCTTTGGCTTTACATTAAATTTTAAAGCTGAGGTGATCAACTATGGAAACCAAAAGTTTAGGCTAGCTTTTCAAAGTTTTTTATAGGGGGGAAAAAAGGCCAACATCACTCCTCTAAACATAAAAATACACACTGCTTCACACTCACTCAGGGTTTACAACAAGGTATCAAGAGAGTACTAGGACAAGGGGGCACACCATTTTTCTCTCACTTATTTTGCTGAGGGAAAAAATATACCAAGTAGGCACGTACATGCAGGTCAGCAGTTCACTTATTTTTTTTCACTCATAATCAGTCTGTTTAAACCACATATACAAAAAAATCATGGTTTCCTTCGAGAGTTTGATTGCTGTAATGATGTAAAAAGAGAAAGTCAATGTTTTTTTTTTTTTTTTTAAATACAGGGTTTAATTGACTTTGCCAGCTTCAGCTGAAATAATAAGTTGACCCTCCTCTTTGAAAAAATACAATAAAATTTTGACAAGATAACAGAAAACTATATCCATAGAAAATTCAGCAGATTTGTCTCACTCAGCTTAGCACTTTCTTTTGATCTGTGCTTCTGTTTAGCTCGACAAACCCTCTGCAGTCTTTTACAGGCTGCTGCCTCTGTGCTACACCAGAAAGGCTGTAATTTAGTTAGATGGTGTAATTTAGTGTCTTGTCCCGTCTAATGAAGGTCTCGTATCATTAGGTGGCTGTGGTGTCCTTTTCTGTCCTGCCCTGTATGGCTGTGTCCTGGTCCCTCTGTCCTGGCTGTTAATTGGTGTCCTGTCCTGAGTTATGTTTTAAGCGGTCAAGTGGTGTAATGAGGAGATGTAGCATGTGTAACAGTCTAAATCTTATGTCAGTGGCCGTCATGGCTGAGATCACTGCAAATAGAAACAACGGAAGCCATTTTAAGTGATCTTACACGCTGTTTTTAATGAGCAGGGTGACAATTTAGAGAGGCCCACGGAGGAAAATGAGGAAGAAAATGTCCATTTAGCGAGTCCAGAGGTTGGTTGTAACATTACATCATTACATCAGTGCTCTTACTCTGTAACATTTAGGTTCATGAGTATTGTTCAAGTTGGGCTTCTTTCTACTCAAAGACGTACAATATTACTCCTACTCCATTACATTTTTACACTCAGTTGAGCTCTCACACATCAGTACTCTGACCAACAGATTACATCTGAATAAAGCTGGGATCATCTGATATTCAAGTCACAGAATCAACACTGTTGTTTCCAACATGTAATTGTTGGATACATGTGACATCAGCTCTGAAACTAGAGCAGTACGGTGTTGCAACTTGTTGTAAAACCACTTGCTTTGTCAGATCCGTTAGACTGCCGGCAGCTTTCAGAAAAAGGATTCTTTTATTTTCAGAGACTGTCTGGATCCAATCCCTCAAAAACAAAAGTTATCTGTGCTGAATTATGTGTTAACTTTAGCGGGAAAAGGTGCAATGTCTGTTAGCTAAAGATGAAAGATAGAGGCTTTTATGAATGTTTTGGCCTCTCAACCAATCAGAGGCTATATCTGCAATCAGCTGACTGTAAAGGTCCAGTGAGAGGTCTGTTAAGGATACCAATATTTGGATACCTTACATCCTTTTTTACTCAATGTATAACATTGAAAAAAAATTTTCAGGCACAGAACTTTTTTAAATTTATCTAAAACATGTTAAATAAAAAGTCTACTTTATTTTATGTCTTAATTTATTTTTCCCCCTAAATGTGTTTTTTTACCTGTTGATGTAACAGTCTGTAACATCATAACAATGCAAAAACTTTAAAAAAAAATTAGCCTGAAAAAAAAACGTCATTGGCACTAAGCAATTTTCCTCCTACTTAGTCAACAGAGAAACGGCAACCTGTAAAGATCAGTCTAGAGGAAAACGCACCTTTATGCTTTAACCAGTAAAGCATGAAGACATCAGAGGATAAATTCAGGACCACCAGGACCTACAAATGGATCGTCAAAATCCTTTTCTATTTTCCTCTCATGCCTCTCTAGGCTTCCATACATCCATACATATTTACATCTGAAGCAAAGGGGACCACAGTAAGACCGAGAGGAACTACAGATCTGACATGATATGACATTATGAGTGAGATAAAACCATAAACACCAAGAGCACAGGACAGCGCACAGCAGCCACCTAATGGTTCAGTTAACTCATTACAGAGACAAGGATGATGAACCTCCTGCTACCAAAACAGAAAAACCTTTGTGTGTGTTTGTGTGTGTGTGTGTGTGTGTGTGTGTGTGTGTGTGTGTGTGTGTGTGTGTGTGTGTGCAGCTTCAGCATGAGTGGAAATTTATTGTCAAAGACTGGCAGAAAAAAACCTTCTTTAGTTTAATAAAATGTAGTTAAAAGCAACAATGAGCTGATGTTATCTCATATATGTTTGAAAAGCAATGAAAAGTGCATTTCAGTAATCGAGCCGGCTTCAAATAAAGGCATGAATGAGTTTTCAGCGTCTTTCTGATTTATGAATGGTCCCACTTGAGCTTTGTTCAATGCATTATTTATCTGGAACAAAGACTCGTAACCTCACGGCCTAGAGATAAAACTACTTACAGTTTTTCATTCGAAAGTCCTTTTTATCTTAATTTCACTCTAAGGAAACATTTAATTCCATCACTTATTCATTTAACGGTAAAACTCAGGCTGTGAGGGAGTCTCAAGCTGCAGAATCAGCTGTGACGTAGAGTTGTGTGTCATCTGCATAATACAACAGTCATCATTTCTCATTAGCTAAGGCAATGCCAGATACAAATTGTTTGCCTGTGTCATATCGAATCAATATGCATTAACATGTCGGGATCATTTCACCTTGGCCAGTTGACACAGTGGCATTATAGATCAGTGGGTGAATCACCAAGAATGATATTAAATGTGCAGATGTCCACAGCTTTATTTTTTATGCTAATACTAAATTTATCTGTAGTTGCTTGTCTTTTTTTTCTGCACAGACTGATGCTGCTTAAATTTAAATTTCTTCCCAAAAGGATCAATTAAGTATATCTAATCTGATCTAAAAGTGACTTAAACTAAAGGAGGTTGTGACAAAAGTAACAATGTTAAAAATTGCAGCATTTTCCCCATTTATATTTAAAAGTGTGTCAACTGTTAACTCTCAAGACAGGGAGCTAAATGCCAACCTTGATATTTCCAAAGCAGTCCCACTCACCTGAATATGTCTCCAGTTGGCAGCCAGCTATGAGGCGGGGTCATGTATCGTGAGCAGGTGGTCGTGCAAATGAGAATCCCTGACAGACTGTTAGATGTTTCTCTCCAAAAATCTAATTTTGATGAGGATTTGAAAAACTCTATCAAAGTCAGTGACCAACAAACTTTTCAACAAAGAAGCCAGGATAATCATGCCAAACAACGCGCCAGAAACATCATCTAAAAAGCAGTGAGCCTGTCTGGAATAGATACACATAAAATGAGACATGTAAAGGACTGTTTGAAAGGCAAAACTTATCTCACACAGCTGAAAAGTGGGCTAAATTCACTTCATTTATTCTCCTGTTTCTGCTACCTCACACTTTTATTGTCACAAAAATTCCCTGTTAAAGATTTCAGCAGTCATACAGCTCAGGAATTTCAAGGACACCATTTCTAGCTGACAGGAATAAGAAAAAGCAAAAAGCTCAAAAGTTGGTACAACTATGCCTATTTTCTCCAGGGTCAACCTACCAGTGCTAACTGCTAACACATACAAATGAAGAGTGCTGTGTTTCTGACTGAATAGGGCAGGCTATGAAACACTGTTTCAGGAAGTCAGACATACTCGATCCGTCTCAAGTACCTGAAACTGACAGCACACAAATAATAAAGCATCGAGAACAATAAAGCTTTCATCTTAAACCTGATCCTCATGGAAGCTTGGTGTCTCAGTAAACAGTCAAACTTTTAACAAAGACCTCGGGGAGCTTTCAGAGTACACTGAATCTCTTTTCAGAATGTAATCATAGCTATTGTAAGCAGCTATAATCTAACTGACAGAAATATCCAAACAATTTGCTTTTCAGTGCAATGTGCAGAAAAGAGTTACAGATGTCGAAACCAAGCATGTGGCAGGTTGATCCCCAAATATCAATATCACCAATCTGGCCGTGTTCAAATGTATTGATGTGATAGTCAATGAAACTAATTGCAATTTTTAACATTTGGCAAATCTTTTGGTTGCTGTTGGGAAAAAAAACCTTGTAAAACCACATTTCTATGGTGGCTGAAAGGCATGTGATTCTCAATCGCCCAAATGAGAAATATGCTGCAAACCGGAATGAAGCACATTCAAAAATGTGTGAAAGTCCAAAACAAATGTAAGCACAGACATAAGCTCCAAAGGAATGACTGAATGCACTGCAAAAAACTAGAATAACTGCTCTTGTCAGCTACCATCCATCCCTTTTATTTAGGCACTTTTTTAAACTTTACACAGGCACAGAACTGCTATAGAAATGATATCTGAACAGTTAGCTGGAGGTCTTGCATTTCAATACTTGTCAAATGTACTTTTTTTTTTCAGCCAAGTCAACATCCTTGGATGCCAGTTTACCTTAAAGCATGTCCTGTACTGAAAGCTAACTCACTCATTGCCACTACCCTCATTACAGTGAGTGAGTTTGCTTTTAAACTCGACCCTGTACTGCTTGTCTTCCACACTCACTCCCTGCTGTCTTCCTTCAGCTGTTTTAATAAATAAAGGCAAAATAACCAAAAACCAGTAATGCATCTTCAAGCCTCTAACTGTTATAGATAGTAATAATATAGAGAGAGGACACAGTGAATTTGTATTTTTAAAAAGGTGTGCCTGAATAATAAGAGGGATCCGAATCCACCGTCATATGTCTTATCTGAGTAGTATGAGCATTGCTTCAGGAGGAGCTGTCTGACATTTATGTTTTTTTAATGAAAGCGTTTTCCCTCCCTCATGTAAAATGCTTTTGTCAAAGCTTATCAGTCTTCCTGTTTAATTTACTATGTTGGTTCTTTTTAGCAATAGCTCTAAGTCTCACCATTAGTATTAATGGATCCCAGTGGAATAAGTGTTGACAGTCAAAGACCTATTACACCACACACAAAACACCTAACCAGCTATTTGAAAGTCATATTTATTTTGCACCAGCCCAAAATCTTGGCGCAAAGATAAATTCCCAGTTACAACATCAGTGACAGTGCATCTCAGTAAAATAACGATAATTGAAAAAAAGAGAGAAAGAAACATCTTTTACTGTGACAAAACAATAGAAACAACAATAAAAGCACAGGTTCTGAATTACAAATGTCAACGCTCAAACACAAACAGATACCAGATACCTTCAAAAAGACCAAGGCGGCAAACAACATCAAGAAAATAATACAGTAACCTCCAGTAATGCTTCATCTGGTACGACAGACATCCCAGCAACACTCGCGCACGCTCTCTCTCTTTCACACAAACACAATGCTGTAACACAAGAGCCAATTCAAATCATCAAATCCCATTACCACTGCATTAAAATCAATGACATGTAATAAATATCAGAGAAAGCACCTTTAAAGCTGAAATGTGTTTAATTGATCAACTGACTGTGCAACATGTAAAAAAGTAAAGTTCAATAAAAACATAATTACATCAGGAGACTTAAAACTGTTGTCAAATTTTAACTATTACACCTGATTTTTTTATTTTTTGCTCTTGATGGAGGAGTATATACACAAACGATCTGCAGGACGCTCACATTAGGACCATTTTAAAGTCACTATCAAGTGTCTCATTCTGCAACATTATTTCAATTTAAATCCATACAGTCTTTTAAAACCACATCTGTAAAATATAAAGACATCGTCAGGAGACCATTTGAGATCAGGGGAGACAATTTCTCATCGTATCAAACAGATTGTTGTTTTTTTTGTGAAGGTGCAGTCTGGTCTGATGGGGCAACAGGAAGCTGTCATACCCTTTGAAATTCATGATGATGCAAAAAAATCCCCAAAATGGATTTTGCTCTTCTTTTCTTTTTTTTTTTGGTAGCAAGAAAACATTCTTTTAAACATTTTCTTAGGGTGCTCAAGGTAGCAGAATATTAAAAAAAAATCTTACATCACAACAGAGTAACATGCTAGAGATTTCAGACCGGCACAATAACGCGAGCAATTTACAGCATGAACATGAAGAAAGAAGAAAATCCCTCGGTCTTTTTTTTTCTTTCTTATATTTTATGTCTCCTCGTCTGTGACCTCTTCAAGTCGATATCTATGATTTTCTCATAACACTCGGACATCAGCTGTTTCTCAGGACATGCTCTCTGTGTTCAAATAAACGTGATCTGTAGAGTTGGTAGTGTCTTTGAGCCGTCAGTGCTGTGAGAAGTCAGTGTCCTGACACAGTTCAAACTCCACACAAATTTCAACGTTTCCCATCGTTTGCTGTCTCCGGGGGTCCCACACATCACAATCATTTCCCTCTGCACTGAGTCCCTCCAGCTATCTACATTATTTTTACCATTTGATCATTTACATTCTCTGCTTATAGTGCAAACAGCAGGAACTTTTGCTAAACAACCGAGAGAAGCAAAAAAACACAAGTTTCCACAACACTGCAGTGTTTACACAGCTCCAGAGGCCAAACTTTTGCCTTTTTTTTATAAGCCAATTATTTTTAAGTTTGGCAACTTGAAGAAATAGCTCAATATGTGGAAAGGGTTAAGCCTGCTAATTCCTGATCCTGGAATGATTTCTCACTTGCTGTGTGCAAATTTGTGTGTATTCACATCGGCTGAATTGATAAACGCACTGCTTCGCTCGATATATGGCTTCTGCACATTTATGGCTCCTTTTTCCCTTTTTCCCTATATAGCCAGGCACTGTTTTTACCCACAGTGAACATGGGTAAATGTCTCGTTTTTGACTTTTAGTGTGTGAAGTCACCATATCATGGTGAATGAATACTGAGCGAGTAATATTTTTCTCAAGGCCACATATATCTGTACATCATAAAGATACTAAACTAAACCTCCACCATCATCTCCTCATTGAAAATACAAGTGTGATTTGGGGAGAACACACCATGATGAATGAAGTTGCTTTGCTGTTAAAAAGTTGAGTTCTAGTTTCTCTTGAAAACTTAATACCAAGTTAAACCAGTCTTTTGGCTTGTCAGTATGTGTTTTTTGGAACTGGGTGAGCATAGCACTGCTGGAGGACACCGTGTTGCCAGTAGAAACACACACCACTTCATTCTCTCCCCTGCCGTTCAGGCTAGCTCTGCTTTGGGCTCACAGTTTGCTTTGGCTGTGCTTTGGATGCTTTTGCAGAGGCCGAGGCAGAGGAGGAGGTGGAAGAAGAGGAGGAGGATGAGGATGAACTCCATCTGGTCTCCACTCCAGTGCTGGTCATCTTCAGTTTTCGTCGTTTTGCGAGAGGAGCGTTGTCGACACTTTTCAGAAAGAAGCCCTCTCTCTTACCACGATTGAAAGCCTGATGGAACAACGAGACAAGAATGAGAAAAGAAAGAGGGGGACGGCACATCATGTCATCAACCTCTTTGTTATGATATTCTGATAAAATTATACATTACTCTTACCTTGTAGGTGGCGTTGACGTAGGTGCGTACAGTAGGCCCACTTGACTCAAGCACATCAGGCGTGCACAGAGGAGTGGTGGACATGGAGGCTCCACCCTGCAGCCAACTGTTCTCTTTCAGATCAGATAGTTTGAGACGTCTCTCTGGATCGACTGTCAGCAGGCCTTTGGTTTAAGCCATAAAGATCACAACCGAAAAAAAGAAAAAAAAGATAAGACAATAAGATATAAGAGAGGCGCACAGCACTCTTGGTGTCCTAAAAAACTAAAGTGTACAAAATAATCGCTCAAATCTCAAAAACTTGAGGAGACTTCAGAAAACTGCCTGAGAAATTATGCTTCACATTCTCAAGTGAATTGAGAAATGAGTCACACAAAGCACGTTTACAAACCTACAATCTACAAAAAGAAAGTTTTCACTGCAGCTCAACTGGTGTATCAAAACGCTGATGTGGGATTATGTCCGACACAGAGCTGTTAGTGGATAGGTTTCTATAAAGGAGCCTATATGAAAGCACTTCTGAATGCAGATTGTGCACAATGCCAAGCAGAGCATGCTGTGACTACATTGTTAGCAACACACTCAGCACTGTCTGCAGACAGGTGGGGAATTCTAACAGCTTAGCAAACCATGGTCCACTATAGGATTAGCCGAAAATGTAAAATAGTCAGAAATAGTTAAAGGGATATTCTGGCGTAAACTTAATTTAGTGTCAAACACATCATAACATCAAGTTAGACACCTTGTCCAAAGATGAATGTTGCCAACCGCTTGCTTCTCGAGTTATACCAACTTTAGTAACGACCACATGATAGGAATACACAGCTGTCTCAGGAGCCAGGTGCATACCTCAACCTCAAATTTCTCATCGTATCAAACAGATTGTTGTTTTTTTTTTGTGAAGGTGCAGTCTGGTCTGATGGGGCAACAGGAAGCTGTCATACCCTTTGAAATTCATGATGATGCAAAAAAATCCCCAAAATGGATTTTGCTCTTCTTTTCTTTTTTTTTTTGGTAGCAAGAAAACATTCTTTTAAACATTTTCTTAGGGTGCTCAAGGTAGCAGAATATTAAAAAAAAATCTTACATCACAACAGAGAAACATGCTAGAGATTTCAGACCGGCACAATAACACGAGCAATTTACAGCATGAACATGAAGAAAGAAGAAAATCCCTCGGTCTTTTTTTTTCTTTCTTATATTTTATGTCTCCTCGTCTGTGACCTCTTCAAGTCGATATCTATGATTTTCTCATAACACTCGGACATCAGCTGTTTCTCAGGACATACTCTCTGTGTTCAAATAAACGTGATCTGTAGAGTTGGTAGTGTCTTTGAGCCGTCAGTGCTGTGAGAAGTCAGTGTCCTGACACAGTTCAAACTCCACACAAATTTCAACGTTTCCCATCGTTTGCTGTCTCCGGGGGTCCCACACATTACAATCATTTCCCTCTGCACTGAGTCCCTCCAGCTATCTACATTATTTTTACCATTTGATCATTTACATTCTCTGCTTATAGTGCTGTGACTACATTGTTAGCAACACACTCAGCACTGTCTGCAGACAGGTGGGGAATTCTAACAGCTTAGCAAACCATGGTCCACTATAGGATTAGCCGAAAATGTAAAATAGTCAAAAAAAGTTAAAGGGATATTCTGGCGTAAACTTAATTTAGTGTCAAACACATCATAACATCAAGTTAGACACCTTGTCCAAAGATGAATGTTGCCAACCGCTTGCTTCTCGAGTTATACCAACTTTAGTAACGACCACATGATAGGAATACACAGCTGTCTCAGGAGCCAGGTGCATACCTCAACCAAAAAGCCACTCTATAGTCACAAATAATGCTCAGAACAGCACCTAACTTCATCAACAGTACATATAGGGTCCCAGCCACAGCACTTGCTACCAAACATCTTTTTAACTTTGCCTAATTTCTTTAGCAAAAAGACTAAACACAACTCACCTACTCTCTTTCAGCAGCCGCTTGTTTGTCGGGATAGCTTGGACAAGTCCATCATCGACTACAGCGGGGTGACGCAGCTCAAGCATTATTTGTGGCTATAGAGAGGCTTTTTGGTTGAGGTTTGCACGGGTAGGCAGACCGCTGTGTATTGCTATCGTGCGGTCGTTCCTAAAGTTGGTATAATTAGAGAATTAGAGAGGTCGGCAACATTCATCTCTCGACGAGGTGTCTAACTGTGTTGCGGTGCGTTTGACCCTAAAATTATAATTACGTCGGTCTAACCCTTTAAGTATTCTTCAGCTGAGTCGTGTGATTTATAAAAGTCTGTCTGTGTAACTTACAATGGTCATCATGCCTTTGCTAAATCTACATACAACCTCACAGAGAAAGTTTACTTTCATTCCAGTTTAAAACATCTTTAAAATTAGCCACCCAGACAGACATTTGTAAATATTCCCCCCTACTGCAAAGTCAAGTCAGATTTAATTGTACGGCTGATTTAAAACTGTACAGCGCAGACTAAAGTGCTTGGCAAACAAGGGAGGATAAAATCATCTGAGGTAGCTGATTCCTTCATCAGATCACGTACCTTTAACCAGCTCTTTGGCGTCCTCTGATACTCCTTTCCAGGCCTCTCCATCCAATGAGAAATCGCCTTCCTTTATCTTCTGCATGATGTCAGCAGCATACGATGAGGTCATCCCATGCTGTTCACTCAGAAACGGCACCTGGCCTGACAGCATGGTGTACTGAAGGAAACACACAGAGCAGCTCATTAGCGCTCCAGTTTAATTTACTGATGAAACAGAATTAAAAGATTCAAGTTTAATTACCAGAATGACCCCGAGACTCCAGAGGTCACAGGCTTTGTCGTATCCTGCGCTCTCAAAGAGTTCAGGTGCAGCGTACTGCAGTGTGAAGCAGGGAGTCTGCAGGGGGGCGCTGCCTGCAGGGCACAGCCGGGCAAATCCAAAATCTATTACTTTCAGCACCGAGTCCTCCCCCTCATCGGAAAACAGCACGTTCTGTGAGCAGAAAATAAAATCCATGCTCATCTTCTCTCATTTCTCTGGGCTTTTTTAACACTCAGAGCTCCAGTTTCCTACCTGAGCAAACACCACATACAGTACACCAGCAGTAAACACTACTATCACTTCCATTGGCATGTTCCTAATCTTGGTTTATACCTTCCCAGTTTTTGGGGCAATTTCCTCCTCAGTGCAGCAACAGACGGGTTTTCCTTTGAATGCGCTTCCAAAATAACTAATTTGGTGAATATTACCCTAGATGCCGCTAGACAGGAGTTATTACCACATCTATCTTTTGGCCAGAATTCATCTTTTGGAAACTGTCAAAAAAAATCTCATTACTTGCAAAGAAATATGCTGGAATGGTGGAATAATGCAGATAAACATTTTAAATCAAACCAGTCAGTCAGTCAGTCAGTCAGTTAGTAATGAGTTTCGATTGGCATCAAAAATAAAAGTTTATGCGATTACGACAGTCGTCTCGGTAAAACATTAAAAGTTAATGGGTGATTCTTGCCGCTATCTGTCATTAACAGCAGCTTTAAGCTATATGAAAAGCTTCTCCTTCAGTTAATTAAATCCCACAGCAATTTGGAGACGGCAGGATATGTGTGATAAATCTGCAGCGCTCATTTGGAAAAGTGCTCTGCCGCAACACAGAGGCATTATACGTTGTTGTCCACTGTGTTTACAGCAATTAAATCATTCATGTGCAAATGATGCAGCAGAATAAGCACAACACCCTCATACATCTAAATAGCTGCTTTTAACTTCATGAAGGACATCCTGGAAGTACAAGGGCCACGTGCAGTTGTTATTGGAGAGTAATGAGATGATTTTAACCTCCTCCCTTTGTCTTTCATACATCAGTATCTACACCAGTGGCTCCAGACAATCTTCCAATAACTTCTAATTGCCTTGAACCATGTTTCAATATTCAAATGTGTTTTTAAGGTAATTCAAGGGAAAGGGGGAGACTTTTGCTTTGAATAATGTCATACTCGTGATTTAATATGAACTGTTTAAAGGTCCCCTGGTATGGCATTCTTCATCAAGTTTAAATCTGTCCCAGAGGTCCCAAAGTAGTCAATTTGAAGTTAGTTGTCTATTGTTTGTTGTTATTTATGGATATCAGCCAGTATGTACCCCCCTCTTTTTGAACTCCGCTAATTCTGCGCCTGTACCTTTAAATGATGATGTGTGTAACCACGCCTATCTCTGGAAGGGGCTGTGACTTTCGCTCTGATACCATGCGCTAATGTTTACAGCCTGTGCAGTGTGATGGCTCGTAGAAGCGCTGTGGTTCAGCCCTACCAATCTGACCCAGAGTCTGACCCAGAGGGATAGGCTCCCAAAGAAAGTCAAACTCTGTAGCTGCAACAGGACGTTTCTGAATGGTTGGTTACAAATATGTGTCTTTATATTTGTCGTTTTACTTTGTTAGTGTGTTATGTTACATTGCTAGCTTATCTGACGGCTACATCTATGCTGACTCGTTGTTACTTGGAGCTCTTTTGGTGAATACAGAATGATAGGATAGGACAGGCAAAATGTTCCATCCGTCCCCGTTTCCGTCTTCTAGGAGGGAGCTTATGCAGATATGTCGTCATAACTGCACAGCTTTTCCATTCGCCCGTTGGTGCTGATGTTTTCAGAAAGGAGTAGAAAGCAAGGGAGAATGAAATTTTTTCATGTTGGGGGGGGGTAGGCTTTGAGGGGACACTTATTATTGGTAGAAAACCACCCAAAAGTGGATTCCTCATAACAGGGGACCTGTAATGTATTTACAGATGACAATAGCTGCGTTTTCATGGGCACAAATTATCGGAATAATAGCCCCATGAGAATAAAACATGTAAGCATGTTGATAGGAAGATTCTTATCCGATTCGGCTATTCCGATGGAGAGGAGTGGTTTAGGCTGATCGTTATCTTGAAACGCGTCCATTACACACTTATTCCGATTGTGACTCTCTGTTGGGGCAAAACTAACCTGACTGGTTTGTGTCTGACACAACTTTCTTGTTGGATACAGTCTCCTCATGTAATGCAGAAACAGTATGTGCTGCTGGGTCCACTTGATGACCATATACGCTAGGAGCAATAGAACCACTCTCAGAACCTGGCTCAGGTCCATTCTGAGTGATGGGAAAAATCCTGGATCGGCTGGAGTGAGTCGCTACCGGGTTTGTTAGTTTGTTGACAGCACAGGTGGAAATACAACTCTTCTCCTGCTGTTGTCAAAGCGAAATTAGACAACTCTGCACATGTCCAAATGCTTATAATCTGAATAAAGCTTGGTGCATGTGTACGCAGGTCATGGTCAGATTATTTGATTTTGCGCCTGTATAAACAGTGAATTCAGATATTCTGATCCCTTAAATTTTTAATCAGATCAAGAAATTTCGCTCACGTAAACATGGCTACCATTGTGTTTAGTATTGAGTCAGTAGATCATAGTACATCATGGTATAACCCACCTCTGGTTTGAGGTCCCTGTGCACTACTCCAGCCTCATGCATGAAACTGACAGCTGAGACCAGACTCTGCAGCAGCTGACTGGCCTCTGCCTCGCCGAACAGTTTCTTTTTCTTGATCCTCTCCAGCAGCTCCCCTCCACGCAGGAGCTCCATCACTAAATATGTGTGATACTGCGAAGAAGAGGGATATTTCAAGAGAAGGGTTAATACTGTCACCCCAAGTCTCCATCCCCACAAGTATATTCACTATATTCACCATTGTTTGTGCCAGTAAATGCATGTTATCCTTTCTGGGTTTCTTCAACTGTACCTGATCAGTGTAGACTTCATGCAGCTTGACAATGTTTGGGTGGGATTCACATTGTCTCAAAGCAGCAATCTCCCTCTGAGTGTTTGCCTCCATCCTAACAGTCCACAAAACATTCAGCGTAAACAAAGACTTTCAGTGAAATTCACCGGAGAGCTGAACATAGCAGGCGCATAATGTCTCCACTCACCTGCGGCTTACAATCTTGACAGCATACTCGAGGCCACTCTGTTTGTGTCGGCACTTCCTGCACACAGAGAAACTACCCTCACCCAGGGGTGGCCCGTGAAGACCCAGCTCATAGTGCTGGAAAAACTGGGACTCCTGAGCAAAAGATGGGAAACTATTTGTTATATTGAGCGGTTGAAGGAGAAGTACCGTGTTTCCTTTTTTTAAAGGAAAATCCCTGAGCTTAAGACTTGCCTTTCAGCGGTATAGGAAGCCTCTAACTTTGGAGTGCACTGACCAATATGAGATAAAACCTGAAAGTCAATATTTATGTCTCGGAGAGGGGTTTATGCAGGAACACTCTTGGATTTATGGACATACAGGTTGCACCTACACTCAGATGAAAATTCACTGATCATTGTACTGTGTTCAGACTTTATTAAATGCCATTTTGATAAGCAGTCTGAGCTTCTCGTGGCTCAGAATGGGATACTCCCAGCGACTAGCATTCTCAGTATGCTCACAGTAAAGGTAGGTGGTGTACACCAGCCAGCAGTGACATTATGTACACGTGAGCAATTTAATACAACCCAGAACAACATCCACTCTACTTTCACATTTTCAGCTTTTGCTGTCCTGTTTGTTTTTCAAATGAAATGTTGAAGATGTGGTGTGTTGCAGTTAAGATTGTAATGGAGTGTATTTTATTAACCGGTGTTTCTGATATGGTGCGCCGCTCATATTGGTTAATTGAGTGGACATAATATAAGGATCACTTTTTAATATAACACACTCCTGTACACCTTTGCTGCATCTTCCATAATATATATGGACTAATAACACTGATCACCTGTCTGACCATGTCAACAAAAATGAATACCCAGCAGCTTTCTAAAAATCTTTATGGGGAAGTTGTTGAATTGGATTAAAAAAATGGGTAACACTTCATTTGACCCCTATCTCTATAACGCATTATAAATATATGTATAATGCGTTATAATCACGTTATAGCACTGTATAACTATAGTTATAAACAGTCATAAATGGTCATAATGCTTTATAGCAATAACCCTAACACATTATAAAGCATTTTATCATGACTTACAAGTTGAGGTATTATAATGTGTTATAGCTGTTAACAACAGTTGCACTGCATTATCTATGTGGGCACTGTCAGTGAGTTGTTAACAGTTATAACTGACCTTGTTAGTCATGATAAAATGCTTTATAATGTTTTCTGATTATTACTATAAAGCATGATGATCATTTATGAGTGTTTATAACTATAGTCATACAGTGCTTTAACGTGATTATAACTCATAAATATACATATTTTTATAATGTGTTATAGAGATAGGCATCAAATAAAGTGTTACCGAAAAATGTTTTAATCTTATTTCATACATGAAAACTATTCTTTTACATCAGCAGACGTTAGAAAACCCTGAAACACACTTGATTGAAATAAAGTGATCCACTGCATTGAACGAGTCTTTCACTAGCAGACTGAGTGGAATTGCCCTCCTTTACTTGTTTTAGGAAAACACATAAAAAGTGTGAGATTCTTTTTTTTAATACAATAAAAAACAAACATTTTCATGGCTAAAAGAAGTTATGAGGTCAGATTTGTATCATACTTTTAAATGCGTCACACAAATTAAGCTTTTATCAAATGGTTGATGTGACTAACAGCACGTAGAAAATTGGACCTGAAATTTTCCATTTCTCAACAGATGCAGTGATCTTAAATACTGATATCAAACTTGCAAAAGAGAAACCAACTTAAACAGAAACAGAAACCACTCTCATACTTGATATGAAAGAGGAGATATGAAAGAGGAAACATGTTGTGAAATAAGGTAAACCAACTCCGATTAATCAAGTTGGCTAACCAGGCTAGTTTCTCTTCCTCTTCCTTTCCGAGTAAACTTGTAAACAACCCCCTAAGCTTTATTTGGTGGCTTTTTAGAGTTCTGACCTCCAGACAGCCTCTCAAAAAATGGATCAAATCAAAAAAAAATCTCCAACAACTTTGATAATTTACCTAACAGCAGTTAGTTACATGAGGGAATTACAAGTAGCTAAAAGTCTGTTGTACCTGTAACATTGCACTGCGCTGCACAGTAGCTGATCCTGGTCGATCGGTACCAGCCTGAGGCTCAAAGTCTCCCATGACTGCATTCTTATTGAAGAGGATGGAGGGTGCGATGAAGGAGTAGCCCTACAGTAAAAGAAAAGTAATGTCAGGTATGAGACAGAAAAAGCAAGAAAGAAGACAACCATTTCAAATCAGATTATCGAATTCTTCAATCTGTTAGTAATACGAAAAATATAATCAGACTACCTATGTTCACACCTGTTTCAAAGGAAAAAAATTGTCCAGTTTTCTTAAATAATTCTATTTATAAGCATGACATTTATCCAAGTTTTAAAAATATTCAGGTTGTGAGCTTCACTTTGAGAGGTAAACTTTTAAAAAAGACTATGACAGTGAAGGCTAACCTGGAACAGGCGGTCAGTGCTTGGGGGGGTGCTGGCAGGAGAATAGACAGGGTCCATTCCTGTGAACTCTTCAGCAAAGTTCCCCACATCAAGTTCACTCTTCAGCTCCGGCTTGAACGGACTCTGCACTTTCTTCTGTGCAAGGTCAGTCCAGTTCAGACCCTGGTGGGGAACAAAAAGAGGAAAAAAAAGATTTTTGGATGGATGAGACAAAGTGACTGAGTGACACTAAATATTTCTGACTGGCTGAGGTAGTAAGAACCTTGAAGAAGGAGTGTGCTTTGATGTCTTCAGCCCCTCGCGGTCCAGAACCCAGCCTCCTGTGAGGATCTTTGACCAACAACTTTCTTAGCAGGTCCTGAGCAGTGGGCCCAATCATGGAGGGGAATGGAGGGTCACAGCGCAAGATACGTCTGACAGAACAGGAACAAAGAAGAGCAGAAATTAAATCACTGCAACCCAAAAAGACAGTTTTCTTTGTATCAAGGACTATCATTTGTCTTCAGTATGTGTTTGGTAAATGAATGAGAATAGGTACCTTCAACAGAGTGGTTGACATAAATTCAGACTTAATGATATTCTAGGTGAAGAATGAAGTTGGTGTAAGATTTGAATATTTTTGATGTTGATGGAGTCAGTGACACTCACTTTGACACCTCGCTCTGAGAGTTCCTCTCTCCCTCCAGGGTGAAAGGAGATGCTCCTGTCAGCAGCTCAAACATCAGGATCCCAAGGCTCCACCAGTCGACAGACTACAGGGAGAAAAGGTGAAAGAAGTTCATATAAAGAGCAAAAATATGAGCAGATAAGGCTCCCTTTGTGTACTTTTTTTTCTGTGAAGCCTGAGTTATCTGCTCTGGCACTGACCCTCTTTCATTTCCAAAAATGTCAATAATACTTTTGACCTGATCTGTGGTGATCTGTGCATACAATGTTCAAGGAAAAAGCTATAAATAGACTTTTTAATGTTACCTGCAGAGTACCATAAGTTTGATTTACAGCTCAATGTTGCCTCAAACATCCAAAATTACTTAAATATGAACAAAAGCAGTGCAGGGTCAACATAAATCTTAGACACTGCCAGAGTACATGATCTAAGAACGACAACAGCACTTGTTGCATCATTCTTCTATGGTTACCTTGCCATGCCCTGATTTCCCCCTGATGATCTCCGGTGCCATGTACTCGATGGTGCCACAGAAAGAGTACGTCCTTTCTTTCTGTAATGGGGACAAAAATAGCATCAAGTGTATCAGTACTGGATATCACATCAACGTGATTGGGACATCTTCTATACAATTTGCCATATTCCACATAAACTTATATATGTGTTCATTTGTTAGTATCATGTTCACATGCCTCTTTTTCAAGGAACTCTTTACTGAGTCCAAAATCAGTCAACACCACATGGCCATCACTGTCCAGAAGAATGTTCTCCAGCTTGATGTCTCTGTATACAATCCCAAGCTGTACAGAAAAATACAGAAAACTGCTCGGTTAAATTCACGGTAAGTATTCATGTTTCTGAACAGAGATTGTTGCATGGTTTCACACAAAATGGAAATCAGAAATCAGGGTTTTTCCTGCGTTCAAAATTGCGTGGCGGCCGCCTCCACCTAATTTTGTGCCGCCCCCGGCCAGAGCGATTGATTTCGCTCAACACAGCGTAAAGCTCCAGCTGTGTTGATTGAGTGTATGATGTCCCTCTGCTGCAGCAACGTATTTTAACTGCAGTTGCAGCGTTGCGCCACTATAGAGGCGCTATATCAACAGTAGTGCACCGGAAAGACCTGAAGCCTCTACCGAAGAAGAAACGGATCGAATTTTTTCAAGTTTTTTTCCCGCTAGTTGGTGCTATCGGCGTCCTGATTTTCCCTGGCGGATGGTACAAACAGGTAAATACTGCTTGTCTTTTTTGCATCCAAGCATGACGTGTTTATTTAAAAAAAAAGTTTCCTCCGTTTTTTAGCGTTGCAGATATGACAGGCAAAATCAGCCAGTACTTTAAAAAGCGACCTCGCAAGGAGGAAAGTCAAGAGTCCAGGTGAAACACAGCAGAGAAAAAACGTAATAGGCAGTTAAAATGCTATAATTCATAGTGGTGACAACGTGGAAATTTGTGTCAGGTCTGAAAGTACTTCACAAGGGACTGGTGATCGCGAGGGTCAGAATGCAGGACAGGACGAGTCGGCGAGGCGAGGGTAATTAATTAATTAGTTTCCAATTAGGAGCATAACAACGCAAAGCCAACGTGTACGTGGTTTTTATTCCTCTTTCCAGATTTTCTCAAAAACACAGAGCCAGTGGCTTTGACAAGCAATGGCTCAATCAATTTACCTGGCTCAGGCATACTGAGGAAGGCATGCACTGCTATTTATGCCAAAAGCACTGTGCCCCAACACAGCAGGCAATTGCTGCCTCCTTAGTGAGACAGCCATCAACCAACTACAGGCTGGACACATTAAAAAGACATGAGGTGATAGCCGTTCACAAAGCAGCAGAAGAGAAGGAGAAATATATTAAAGATGGTAGTACCTAAAAACACTCAACTAATAAATAATAACTAATAATTAATAAAAAATAAATAAAACTAAAAGAACATAGTTTAGATAGTTTAAGAAATAATTAGTTGTCGTTTTTTTTTTTTTAGGGAGGACACTGCAGCGTATACATATATATAATATATGATTGAAAACACTATCACTCTTCATGTCTGTATCAGAATAAAAACAAAAATACTTAATGCATGATGAATTGTTTTGTTTAAGGTGAAGACACCTCTGTGGAACAGACTGAAGGAGAGGCACTTGGATGTCTGTTGTAAGGTGGCTGTTGATGGACCAGACCAGGAGGCCTTGGACTACAAGGAGTGCATGAGGAGGTTCTACAGAATGAAAAAGAGGAGGCTGAAATGTTCTGTCTGGTTGCGAGATGTGTGGATGAAGTGTACTTTCAATTTAAAGTTGCCAGCTGATTTGTGTATGTATATAGTTTTAATAAATGAATGCTTTAACATGATAATGGTCACACTCTTTTTTGAACTCTTAACTTAAAGTATGTTGCCTGTAAAAGAAAGTGAGACAGTTGAATTTACAAATATATGCACGTCATGGCGCATGGTCAGGATGGTGCCACCTCTGCCTCAATTTGAGCCAGGAAAAACCCTGGAAATCACAAATATTTTCTGCCTTCTGCGCGATCTAACTGTGCATACCAGGGAGAAATAGTGCTGCAACTTTGATTGTCTTCTTTGAAGTCAGCAGATGTAAAAACAACTAAATAACATCAACAGAGATGTGACAGGCAGAGAAGAAAGATGCAGTGAAGTACAGCGAGTGCAGCACAGGGCAAATTTAACTGCACAGATATTATAACCTCAAAGGAATGTTTAAGTTTAACAGTATCTACATGCTCAGCTTTATCTCTTTGATAGAAGTCAATAAAAGTTTGGCTTTTTATCAAGACAAATCAATGCCAATCAGCAGCATCGAGGAACTTTAATAAGTGGGAGTTTGCTAACTCTCGCCAGTACCATTTGAATGTCAAGACTTTATATCCTGCATTTTATAGATTTTTCTGCACCAGTCTGTCTTCTCTGCTTCATCTTCTGATGTTTAGTTATTCCTTCTTCCTCTTTCTGATTATTTTCCTGTGAATTTCTGTCCTCTGGCACAAAGTTACAATAAGTAAAAGTGAATTAATTCAAAACAATGACGTTTAAAGAGCACATTTCGGTTTATGTAGACTGTCTGCAGCATTTCACATGATTAAAACTTGTATTTTTGAGTCAAGTAGCCAGAATCATTTTCATTATGTGCAAAATAGTTATTGGATCCGAACAATAACTTTATTTCTTGAATGACTCTGTGATTACGCAGCAAAATGAAGAGCTGAAAGAAAATACAAAGTGACAAACTCAGCGCGCCCAGCTCCCACAGTAACTCACTATCAGTTCTGTATCCTCCAATCAGTGTGTTTTACATATGAATGGAATTTTTTTTTTTCATGTTACCCAGCACAATAATATGATCTAATTTAAGAGTGTAATCAAAGACAGGAACTACTTCTGGAACTTCACACCAGACAAAATGAGGCTACCTGGTACAGAATATGATACTTTTAACATTTATTTAACAAACATGTAGCTGGCAACCATAAAACAGTTTTCAAAAACCAACAAATACAGGACTTACATTTGTTTGAAGGCTCATATGAGACTGTATTTGCACTCCTAAATTCAAAAACGCTCCAAACATGTCAGACACGACAGGATATGGGGGGATAAATCAGTGCAGTTTCTCTGGGAGGCTGCATTTTCTATCTCCTGTCTCCTTCTATCCAAACATCAATAAATGTAGATTTAAGCTGCAGAAGTAGATGGAGTGACACCCACCTTGTGCAGGTGCTCGAGAGCCAGGATTATTTCCCCGATATAAATCCTCACTGCCTCTTCGGAGAAGTGATCTCGTTGATACAAATGTGTGAACATCTCCCCGCCGCTTACGTAGTCTGCATTCACACAAATAGACAAACACACAGGTAGCTTGAATAGAAATAATACATAAATACACAAACGTGCATTTTGCACAAAAACCCATCAAACCATTGAAAGGCAAATACATTGAAAGAATATTAAACTCTTAAGACCTCAAAGACAACATTTGTCCTTATTTGGCTTTAGTGCCCCTTAACCCACCCAGGATGAGATGAAGTTTGCTCTGTGTCTGGAAGGCATAGTGCAGCGTGACCAGGAAGGGAGACTGGCGGATGTGCTCCAGCACCTGCCTCTCAGTGCGAGTGTGTTCTGTGGTCTTCGCTTTTTGAACAATGGCTGCTTTCTTTAACACCTGAGAGACAAATCAAATACACTCCCTTCAGTTTTCATTCATTGAGATTTTCTAACAAAACCTTTTATCATGTCTGAAAAACAAAACAAAATGGAAATCTCAGTAAAATTTATTTAAAGCATCAAAATAAGTGAAAAAAACAGTTAAAGATGTTTTTTTTACATTCAGAGGCAAGAGATAAACACCAAACATAATTCTGAATGGAAATCCTTCTTAAATTAGCTTGATAATAACTCAGCATGTGTCTCTAGAAACCATGATTCTGATCCTGTCAATCCCAAGGCGGTCTCTCCTTTCAGAGAATCCTACAAAGCAGGGCTGTGTTGAACACGTCAGGGCTTTAAATGGCAATGGAGGACGAGCTAAACGCAGAACTATGAGACAGGCCTGTGATGATTGTTCAAAGAGAATAATTGATCTTTCTTACAGAGTTGGACATTGTCTTAAAACATCACACAGACTCTATAATTCTTTTTTTCTAAGGCTTACAGGAAAAGCTCTGGGAACCTGATCTGCTTTTTCCCAGCCTTGGAGTAACCGACTCCTTCACATTTGCTGGTGTTAAGAAAAAAAAGGATTTTTTCTTCAAGCAGTGGTTTCGGGTCGAGTCAATCTAAAAATAGAGCTTTGTGTACATGTATGGTTTGAGGTTGAGAGAAATAGGCAAATAAGATCTCAAGAGACCCAGATCTTTTGAAGACAAAGATGGCCTATGTTGAGCAGGATCTGGGACCCTGTGCTAATTTTGGGGGGTAGGGACTGATGTGGTGTGTCCAGTCAGTGTAAAGTGTCTTCCCAGGTAAGTTGATTTTTCCTCCTTTTTGTTTTTCTTAACACTTAAACAGATTTTGTTCTGCTTTTCAGCCAACTCTGTATATATTTAGCATAAAGTTGAGTAAGGATGTGTTGTGTCACTAATTCTATACTCTAAAAAAGTAATAAATGCATAGCAGGTAGAAAAATAGCTCCATATAATTTTCTCAATTTCCTCTGCCAGCTTTTATTGAAAGGGAGATCAGTCAGCAGTCACTTTATCGCATATCATTTAGATTGAATGACATCTCGTTATGTGCTTTGCAAGTATTACTGAATACATTTGGATAAAAGAAAAATCACTGAAGCATTTGCATAACACATTTTAGAAGTCTCCCTGTTTTGAATTTAAAACATAACCCAGTGAATTAAGTGTCCATCTTTTATTTTCCGAAGTCTCAGAGCAACTTAACAATCTTACCTTCATGGCATAAAGCTGTCCAACATCATGACCCGTGTTCTTCCTGACCAAAAACACTTTTCCATAAGCTAGACAAAGACAAAGACAAAGAATAGGTCAAAAGATTCTTAGTATGAAACTGGTTTTGGATTATAGATACAGACACTCTCCTGTACACCAAATTAAATCAGGCCTTGTTTTGTTGATAGAGGGAGCCTCTCAGATCTCTCAAAGGTATTCATTATGCATGAGATCTAATAACAGAGACATCTACAGCATATGGTCTGCCTTATAAACATTCACACAGTACTCATGCTGTTTTGATGATTTGCAACTCCCAAATCACTACGTAAAGAAATGCTTTACCACAACATTTGAGCCTTCTGGGACTTTTTCTCCGCAAGCTATGAAAATTAATTAGAAACACTTTCCCCTCAAGATATTAAACCGTGGCAGGAGAACACTTCTGGTGTGCTTTGAGTAAATCTCAGATTGACATCTTATTGAAAGTTTTCTTCAGGTTTGACAGCTGCTGTGTCTGTGCTGCTGAATATATGAGATGTTTTATAAGGATACCTACCTCCAGTGCCCAAGACTTTGAGCAGCTCAAAGTTCTCCATGCCGACCCTCTCAGTGTGACCCGTGAGGTTAGCTAGTAGCAGAAAGAGAATACCACAATTAGAACATAACGTATGTATGCTAGATGTCTTTACCTGTTATGAGGTTGCCCCTATTAGATAAGACAGGAAATGTGGGGGGAAGTGGGGGTTGACATTTGGCCAGGTGTTTAAGTGACAGCTGTTGCAATAAGGACTGGCCTCTGTGTTTGATGAACATTTGCTTTGACCACTAAAACAAACCAGTGCGCCACAGCTGCCTAACTCTTAAGATGAAAGATCCATATCTGGGTCAATTTTGTGCAATAACTTGCAACATTGGGACTTTTATGTCTTACCTACATCAATAGTAGGGAACAGCCAGTGTATTCAACTTTGAAGCAGTTAGTCAAGCTACCACATCACATAAAAATGCTGCCTGTTCTTCTGCTCTGCGTAGATTGGTGGGTGGTTGCACTCTAGCCCATATCCACACCCTAACCATTCACAGTAAGCACTGTTATACATTTCTGCTAGGACAATCAAGTGAAAACATGCATTGCTGCGACTGCTTTGAGTGACTTACCCCAAATTTGAACTCCCTGAGGAAGAATAATGCAGCACTTTTCCACTCTGAGTGAACATGGGTGATTTATTTTTGTTGGTAAATGCAAGGAATTATATTTAAGGACATAAACAATGACTATGAACACACCATGAGGCAACAATTATTTTTTTCTCTGGTTCAGAGTCCACACCAAAAGGATGCAAATGTAAACACAAACTGAATGAACAGTTTCTTTTAACCAGTTACTTGGGTTTGTCCCATAGATGCTCAGAAATTTGGCCAAAGGGTGCAGTAAGACTCATGATACTAGACACAGTATTCACTAATGATCTACATAAACTAAGTGATGGAAACTGTAACACCTGCTGAAAATCACTAGTTGTTCTAATTATGACAAAGAGTAGACTTTTTGTTTATTTCCTGAAACAAATCAAGTTAATCTGTTTTGATTTTACTCGTGGATTTAACTTTTGTTTACTACCGTGCATAGTGTCAACACGGCAGAAACACATTACAAATTACCATTCCACATAGGGCTGAGCGATAAAACAATAACGATATTAATCGGAAATTTATTTCCCTCAATATTCATATAAAACATGGTCAATATGCTTTTCGATGGTAGGCATTCTGCCATGTTTTGGTAAACAATACGTATAGCCAATGAAAAGGGAGTTTCTCCGGGTCCGCTTCGCACTGAACCAATCGTGCTGAATTAGAACCAAGTAGCAAACAACTGCGTGGTAGCAGGCTGCAGCTACACGCAACCATAGCACTTTAACACGTGAAGCTGACACCAATAAGCAGTGTTAAATTTTATTTTTTATATTGTGATATATATTGATATCGACTGACATGAAAAAAATATATCGTTATAAACTTTTTCCCATCGCCCAGCCTTACAATTCCACAATACATACACAACAGATATCTAAAGTTAAACCTTATACTCTAAATTTACCACTGCAACAAGGATTTAATTCTATAAACATACTCCCAATGTGTTATTAATATATTGATTAAATGATGAGAGGGGTATAACACGCGCGTTTGATTGATTGATTATATTTATTTACGTGTCGTGCGCATTAAATGTCAAACCCTCGTGTGTTTACAAGACGCCAAACATACAGATGTACACTTGACTTACCATTGGTGATCTGATGCTTGACGGTGCAGGCCTTTTCGTTTGTTTTTGAATCGGAGTCATCACTACTATCAGAGGCGTCCCCAGGCATAACTTAAAGGAAAGTGGACTCTAACCTTCTCTGACTGTGTAAGACAGACCGAGCAGCTGTCCCTATATTCTTGTATGTTTATAAGTTAAGACACCGCAACGCTCAACGATAACAAAAACCTACTGTATGAGCATCATCCAGAAAACAGGGGATTATCGCAATGACTGGACAGCTGTGTTTTTCAGACAATACTGCTGTCCTAACTTTAATCCCCATGTGTTTGACATCCTGGAGCTTCGCATTATTTATCTCATATGTGATGGCTGAAATCAGTAAAAAGACACAGACGTCTAACTGTGCGGATACCGTCTGTTTAATGTACGATTTAAGTTAATTAAAAGCTAAAATATTCAGATTTTAAGTGTCTGTGTATGTAGGTTACGGCAGAGTTAAAACAGCTAGCGTTAGCATCTGCTGCTCACTAGTAGTCATTCATAAGTTAGCTATCATTACTTAGTAGTAACCTTCACACTACTATCATATTAACATCTGTAAGAATATCGCCGTATCAATAATTACGTTAACACCTATAATGCTGGTACGTTAGTCCAAGTGCTACAGTTCAAACACGTTATCTCATTGGCTAGACTGGCTGAAGTGAATGTGCAACAAGCAGCTAGCTCACAAATTTCTGCTGTTGCTCATCAAAGTTTGATCGTTAGCTTAACGCTAATGTTTAGTTAGCTGTTGTCGCGAGCCTCCTCAGATATCAGCAGTCAGACCATGTTGGAAAAGACTAGTCAGTGTAGTTCCTTGTCTTCTTTATCTTCTTTAGAGTCGAGATAATAGGTCACCCATTTTCAAAATATTCATAATATACTTTCTTTTTTTTTTGTTACCGACTAGCTAACTGCTAACACCAGGATGCTTTCGACACCATAGACATAATAAAAGATAGACCCCGCGTCGGCCGCTACCACGAATGGGCGCTGACGAGAAATGCGGCCGCCATCTTGGTCCGGTCATCCGCCTCACTCTGCACTGCTGTTTAACCGGCGGAATGAAGTCTGAGCGCATTAAATGAATCATAGTTCGCTCAATACTACGTAATTTTTCTTCTCTGTAAACGCCATTCAAAGAGGCATGATAGAGGCCATATTTTTTTTTGGCGTTTTCAAATACTCAGAATGAATAAAATGATATTTTAGAACATGGCAGCAGTGGCTGTATTATAGTATAACAATTAATCAAGGATATATTTAGGTTTAGAGCTAGGTTCCTGCTATGTCTCAATAATTATTAATAACTGGCGGTTTTAATAGGCCAATTCAATATATATTGATTTGATTATAATTTTTTATATAGTTTAATTTTATTTATCCATTTGTAGACACACACAAATAATGTCATATAGAAGCACTATTTTAATAACTGGAAAATACACACAAAGAAATACACACAAATATTTAGCCTACATATCAAAAAAATTTAAACACAAGAACAGCATGACAGGACAGCATCTAAACTACATATCAATTTGCTTGTTGGCTACACAGCACAGAGGAATCATTTGCTGCGAATTTCTCCCTCTAACAGCAATCTCCCACTTCTTCCTCAAGTTTTTGTCCTTAGGAAATCTTCAAAATGAAACAGGAGATCACCACAAAGAAATCTTTAATAAAACAGATAATAAAACAGAGCTCACTTTCTTCCTTCTTCTTTCTATTTTATTTCTTAACGTTTCTTAGAACCTCTCTCAAACAAAAGTTTTTCAATCTAATGCAAATCTGTTGATAATCGACCAAAGTTGCTATTATTGTGAATAAGCTAGCTGTTTGCAAATGCTGTTTCCTTTTTGGAGTTGACCGATAGTCTTCCTCTTTGGCCTACAAATGACTCTACAGTCAAGTGTAATGTTGAAAAAACGTTTAATCATAACTGTGAAAAGTTACTCCTTGAGCCCTGTTCTCTGCTGTCCGCCTGTTGGCACAGGAATACGCCGCACAGTGCTCCGGCATCGCTGAATGAATGAATATGATTGACCGGAGCGTATGGGAAGCTTGACCTGACCAAGATGGCGGCCGCATTTCTCGCTGCGCAGCACCCCCAGCGGGGTCTACCCTTTTATTATGTCTATGTTCGACACAACCTGGGCGACGGTCCGTCACGTGACCAGCGGTGTGGGCGGAGCAAAGCCGTTTGAGTCCTGAAGTGAACTGACCAGTGTGTTTCTTCCTTCAATAACAGCATTTAACTAACTTTAAACCATGTAAAATCTGTACAAATGAGTTTAAATGACCCCGCTGTATAAAAATAGTTAACTTTTCATGAATATCTAAAGGCTTGAAACCTGTGGCTCTCAGGTAGCACGTATACGACCAAGGAAGCATCAGCCTTCTGTAGTGCCACAGAGTATCTTGTCCCTGTTGAATTTTTTAGTATAAACCCATAAGACACAAGTCTGACATTCAACTTTCCAAGGCCTTCCCACTGTTAAGAACTATACTGCCAACATATTCTGTAAGCAGGGAGGCTACAGGGTCCCAAAATGTATTTGAACATTTGCAGTGATAGAGTGGCACGGCCCACTGTGATATCTTTCATGGCACCCTTACCTGCAGGTGTCTATTAACAGTATATAGTAGGTGTAATTTTAAACTTTAAGAGTAGACACTGACAAGCATAAATATTCTCTCACACCCATAAACCAGTCTTTCTATTGCACTCTGATTGGTGTGTGTACTATGCAGTGCTACAATCCCTCAGGCAGGCTATGTACCATGAGCTCATATCAACCTGTGAGTCTAAAGCAGAGGAAAGCCACCACTGACAATCAATTTACATTCAGATACTGTATTGCTAACAGTAAATAACACTTCATGGGAAAGTTTCTATACATCATGAGAGTCTCACATGTCCAAGTAATGATAACAATGGTATTTTGACGAGAAAGAAATGTCCACACTGTCATTTTAGCTGTGCCGAGTGGCACAAAGTTCAACAGAATTCACATACATCTGCTGTGAAAATTTAATCAAAAAAAGTTATAAATCATCCCTTACATGTTCCTCTTTGACAGCACAGCACAGGGATACTATGACAATGCGACTTTGAGGTATCTGAAGCCACGTGTGGCATACTGCTTATAATAACACTTAAGATGTGTATTTCCTGAATTTTCTTTAAATGGAAGATGAGTGGATTGTTGCTTTGTGAGGCTGACTAAATTTTACTTGCTTACTGAAAGAGCAGTGACTGGTACTAGTGAGGCTTCAATGCCCCAAGATGGGACATTTAAGAAGCACCATAAAAAACGCTAAATTGTGAACCCCATACTCGGCCAGTGGGTACCAGCTCAGCAACCTTAATCCACCCAGTTCTTAAAATATTCAAAGTTTTGGCCACTGGCTGCAAATCTTTGCATAACAGCTTTATTTCCCTGTTTCAAAACTCAACTAGTACAGAAACAATGACATGGCCTTAAGTGCTGTATGCACAATTTTAATAATGGATCAATCTTGAATCTTTTATCAAGGCAAATCATCCCCTGGATTCTTAAAAGACAATGGGGAGCACTCTTCCAGTCTTGGTTACAGTCAGTCTCTTTTCTTTATCTACTTAATTTCTTGATGTAAGCCTTGCGCAAATATCACCAGATAGAGCAAAGACTGCAGTGTCTCAAGTTGGGGCTTCAAATTATCTTGCATACAAAAATAATACCAATCCCACCTGAAGATCCATGACCTGCATGTTATCGGTCTAGCTAAAGATTTAGCTCTGCACTGTTTAGCTCTCTGTGAGAGTGGCAGTAGAAGGAAAACAAACTTAACACCCAAACTTTAAAGCACCATATTTAGTCAGGCCTTGGACAACACCAGAGTAACGATCATTTTTGACACTTCCAATTTGTGATCCACGTTACAATCTTGAATTTGCAGAAATAAAATTCCTCTCCCACCATTTACGACTAAGAATATGTGAACCTCTTTACAGTGGATTTCATGGAGCGTGCTGGTGCACTGTATTGTAATGAAGCATTTGTACATGTGAATCCAGTTGGGGGACTTTTAACTTTTCCAGATGGCAAGATACAAGATGCTTTCTTGAATACAATGTAAAAGTTGTGAAACTGATTTAAAATAAAAAAAACATTACATACACACGGAGTCTCAGTGAGACCGAGGACAGTATAATTTTCAATTTGAAGGCAAGAAAAGAGGGTGTAATATTTTGGAGGGATTTGTTCCACTGTTGCCTTGGAGTTTTTTTGCACACTTCTGCATGTTGGTTCTCATCAACGAATGGCTATCAGTCCAACATCAATGAGTTTCTGAATCTTCTGAGCAATAACTGGATTCTTTAAATGGCTGTGGATCAAACAAAGAAGAGTACATCGTTAATAATCAAATTCAAACATTATAGTCTTTGTAACGAAACACAAGAAGTTGCACAAAAGCTGGAGAACATACTCGCTAAGTGCCTGCGGGTCCTTCTGCATTTGCTCTAGAATCATGCGCATGGCTGGGTCACTCATAATCTGCTGCACCTCAGGATCAGCCATCGCTCTTTTCTTCACCTCCTCGGGGCTGTCATTCCTCATGGCCTGACTCATCATACAGCGCTGGATGCCTTCTGTGGCCTCCTAAAAAGGGAGAAAGCAAGAACAGCAAAAGGATCAGGTATTTCAAGGAAAGCAAATAATTTGCCACTTGTCAAGCCTATGCATTCAAGATCTCTACATTTTAAGTTATTCTTTCAATATTTTCCTCTCTCAAAGAAGTAATCTTTTACCTTTGAGGAGGAATCCAGCTCCAGGGCCTTCTGGTACGCATCCATAGCTTTTGAATAATCTTTCATGGCCTCCAGGGCAGCTCCTTTACGTGTGTAGCCTTTAACTGTAGGCAGATGAAATAAAAAAAAGGGTACAAAATCAGTTTCAAACTAAAGCTGAACTTCATCTCTTACAAGTAAAAACTCTCCTCTATAATAGCTCCTCAACTGAAATGATTATAAATGTTATCGTTTCCAACTTACTGAATGTGGGCTCGAGTTTGATGCACTCTTCACAATCCTGAAAAAAGTTCATCACAAGGTCATTAGTTGACGCTAAGAGGCCTTTTTGTGAAGTTAGGAACTCATTCACTGGCTCACTTTAACTGAAATGCTTCACGAGGATAGACTTTACCTTCAGAGCGAGCTGAAACTCCAGCAGCTTTGTGTAACATGCCGCTCTGTTACTGAACAGTTTGGCATCATTTGGGTTCCTCTTGATAGCCTCACTGTAATGTTTCATGGCTAATGGGTAGTCCCCTGTGGCAAGACAAAAAAAAATGAGTTTACATTTATGAAAGATTCTACATTGAAAATGATCCTTTATCGTCAAAAACTCCAGCTACAATATCACACCTTTCTGGAAGGCATCGTTGCCCTTGTTCTTCTCTTCCAGGGCTAAGTCAGGGTTGATGTAGGCTTGTTTTTCCATCTCCTTCAGAATCTTTTCTGCCTGTGGAGCAAATCACAATGTGGTGACAGGTGAAATTCTCCATGCACATGCCAGTCTGACAACTTGAACTTTTCCTACTTATAAAATCTGTGTAATAGAAAACTTGATTCATAAAGGTTGGTGAAGCTTGCAGTGTACCTGTTGACACTTCTTCAAGACATCAGGAGTGCGATGCTCTGTCAAACTCTTGTTGAAAAACTGAACCGCTTCTTTGTATTTCTCCTGCTTGAAGTACGAGTTGCCAATCCGAGCCAAGGCCCTTAAAAAAAAAAAAAAAAAAGGAGAGAGGTGAAGATAAACATGTTGGCCCATCGTGAGTGTCAGACCTCCTCAATCAGGAAAAGACAGCTCAGCTGCTCCACAACCCACTGAACAAAAAACCCAAACCAAAGTCACACAAGCACATTAGTGCACTTGAAAACTCTCCAGTTTCATGGCCACAGATGGACCCTTAACATTAACTCAGCCATCACAAAGTTTAAACTGACTGATAATGGAGCAACACTGCCACCTAATGTTTCGTGTAACACACTGCTTGTCTTGTGACATGCTGGTTGATGTATACCAATCCAGGCATTTGTTCTGAGCCTAATCAGACCCACAAAACAACAATCCTGCCCACCAATCTTAAGGGCAGTGTGTGGGTTCATTTACCTATGTGAAACAGGAATCAAGAAAAAGACTTTGTGCAAAACTCACTTGGCTATTTGTCTGTAGTCTTCCCGGTTCTCTCTGCCAACGTCAATGGCCTTCTCACACAGCTCTCGGCACTTTTCGAAATCTCCCTTTTCGAAGAACACAGCTATTCAGAGAGCAAAAAAAGAGAGTGAATGTTTAATATTTATAAAGTACACAAAAAAGTTTAATTTCATGTTACTTTACAAACTAAGCAGAACTTTTGTTTAGAGGAAAATATTTTTAAGTCCTTATTTGTGAAATGTTCCACGTCTCCTGGGACCACTTCATTTTTGGCATGATTGTTGTTTTTCTTTTTGGTCCAAGCTGCAGATTTAGTTGTGATGATGAGCAGAGAGTCAGTGACTCTGGCCAACTCCAAGTTTGATGGAGAGTTCTCTCAGTGGGCGAATTCAGTTATTTCTATTTTAAATCTAAAATTAACTTTTGAACGGTCTGGGTTTTTAGGGGCACTGTGGGATCAGTTTGATCAAATGTGTCTTTTTACATCTGAGCATATATACCTGCTTGATTAGATAGATATGTCATATTGGTGGGGTCATGTTTGACTGCCTCTTCATAATGTTTCAGTGCTGCTTCAAAGTCCTTGTTCTTGTATGCAGTATTCCCGAGCTCCTTCTCCTTAAGGGCCTGTTAAAAAAATGGAAATAAGAGGATTAAAAAGTAAGAATGGAAATTCATTAAGGATGACAATATGGTTGGAAATTGATTTAGGTGAAGGGTGTAATGAAGGGATTTACCTTTCTCTTGTTTTCAGGAAGGTCTTCCTCTTTGGGAGGAGGCGGCTGAGTCTCTTTGGGTTTGGGTGGAGGAGGGGGGGTGGGCTCCTCTTCCTCTTCCATCTCAGAGAGGTTAAGACCCAGCAGCACAGAGAGAGTGGTCATCACTCTGGGATCCTGCAGCTTCCTGCAAAACAGTAAGACAAACAACTACACTTTTAATGTCATCTAATACACTTTAGGTTGATCATTTGACAATTTCATGTTGTGGATATTAAAATTTTTAGATTTTGGACCCATTTCATTTTTATGCATGCTTCTGATTTCCTGTCAGAACAGATGATGACCCTTCTCGTTATCTAACCAATGTGTGAAGTAGTATCAGCTCTAAATATTATGTTCATATCAAATCAGCAATAAACAACATTTGTCGACATCATGATTCTTGCTGCAGTCGATTGCAACAAACACATCATAAACTTATGAAAATATTTGGTTCGGTTTACACACAGGGGCCATTTAGATGGAGCACACAGGACTGTGAGGACTCTGTTACTATAAAATCCAGAATTTGACCTGCTATGTAAGGACACCGTCTACTTTCAGAAGACTCCCAGAGAGCGATAAAAGGTTTTAACTGCCTCTCTGGGTGACAGTTTTTATTGTGTACAGCAAAATCTACAACATGCAGTTTCTGAGTAGCTCTTTCCAGGATCATCTGCTTTCCACCAATGACTTCACAAACTGACTGACTAATCAAACGCTTTAACCACCAGTCAGCTCTGTGGGCAGCAGTCTACTAGTTGAATGGTGAATGCCACAGGGAAGGCAGCTGACATTGGCTCTGACGTGCAGTTGAAGGCCTGATTTGTTTTTAAAAGCCAGACTACAATTATTACATATCAGAAAGATATTCTGTGATTTTCAATAGAGTAATATCTCAGTGTGGAATGCTTAAGATTTTTGCATTACAGATTACAGCTTTCATTGTGCAGTGTACCAGTCTTATGTCTTTCATACTAAATAAGCAGTCTTGCAACCCTTAGTTTTGACATGTTGCATTTGCAATCCTGATACAGCAATTGAGCTCAGCCTGTGGTGCAGATCCACTGCCAGTGAAACCACACAATCCTCCTCTGCTAGGCACTTGTCTTGGGCAGAAGAGTTTTTTTTATTGAATCAAACCCTCCTCCCTCTTGGCCACATCCTCCGTCAACACAATCTCCACTTCCACTGCTACGCTGATGACATTCAATTGTACATCTCTTCCACCTCCATCACCCCCCAGACCCAACGCTCCCTCTCAAACTGCCTCACTGATGTCAAACACTGGATGGATAGCAACCTCCTCAAGCTCAACTATGACAAAATAGATCTCCTCATCATCGGCCCAAACTCCCTCACCTCCACAGTCACAGATTTTCATCTCTCCATTGACAACTCCACAGTCTCCCCCTCCCCCCACTGTCGCAACCTTGGTATTCTCTTCGACAGCAACCTCTCCTTCACCCAGCACGTCAAGCAAATCACCAAAACAGCCTACTACCACCTCAAAAACACCCCCCTCCCTCTCCTACCCTGCAGCTGAAACCCTCATACATTCATTCATTTCATTCCGTCTAGACTACTGTAACAGTCTCCTCCATGGCACTACCTCCACTCTCCTCAATAAACTTCAGCTCATCCAGAACTCTGCCGCCCGCCCGCCTCCTCACCCATACATGCTCCCACCAACACATCTGCCACCCCCCCCCCCCCCCCGCCGACGCCAACTTCCTCACAGTCCCCTCGACCAAGCACCGAACCTGGGGGGACAGAGCCTTCTCAGTCGCTGCCCCCACCCTTTGGAAATCACTCCCACTGGACCTCAGAAACTGCACCGACCTTACCAGATTTAAGACCCATCTCAAAACCCACCTTTTCAGCACTGCCTTTCATCCTCCATAGCCCCCCCTCCACCTTTTCAGCAATAAACAACTCTGATTTGGTGAAAAAAATAACTCTTATCTGAAAATTTCATGGACTTTGATCTTCTGGCAGGGTTAAGATCCATCTGTTTAATGTGTTATTTCACATCAAGTTCCTCCTAATGCCTGGACAAAATCGATGCAGTGTAAGCACTGCAGTGACCGTTTGAGGGAGCCTGTAATTTTGTTTTTGCTACCTCCTACTAGACATAGGTTTAAGTCTTCAACCATAGAAAATAGATAAGCTGACATATTTTCTAAGAGCCACCTACGTGCCAAGCTCCGATGGTTTGTTCCTAAGCTGCTCCAGCAGCTCTCTGTAGCTGGGATCTGACAACAGCTCACGGGTTCGAGAGTCATTCTCCAGCTTCTGATAGAGGTTGGGCATGGCAAAAGGGTTCATCATCGATTTCTCTAGAGAACAGAAATAGAAGAGAAAGTGTTCATTAGTTGGAACAATCTGATCAAAAGAAGCCATCAGATACTCAGTCATCTTCCTCTGGTTGAGGACTAACTTGCCGACAGTTTTCTGTCCTGTGTAACCTTTACCACTTGTCCTTTGTATATATGAATCACAACTCTCAATTCCCTCGTTGGCTGCCTACTCTTCTTTCAAAACACTGCACTCACAATATGATTTTACTTTAGTAATCCCTTCAGCAGCCAACTCTAAATCCTCTATGCATGTAGGAGGGAAAAATGAGTCACAGTTTTCACATTGTAGTGCCACTTTTACCATGAAAAAAAAGAGAGAAATCCAATTGTCTCTACCTGCAAGCCGAGCCTCAATGTTCTGTAAACCTTCTTTGAGCTGCTGATTATTTGGCTCTTTCCGGATTCCTTCTTGGTAAGTTGTTTTGGCGTCCTCTAATCGCCCAAGAAATTCCAATGCTGCAGCTTTGCGGGAGTAGCCCTGGTTGATCAAGATTTACAGATGTAAAAATACCTGTTGGAGCTTGAATTCCTAAATATCATGTCAATAGAATCAGTGAATATCAGAAGACTTCTCACCTTTCCCCAGTCAGGCTTGATCTTGATGGTCTGACAGGCATCCTGGAGAGCATTCTCATAGTTACCTTTCTTGGCATAGGCAGCTGAACGGTTGCTGAAGAGGACATGGTTTGAAGGGTCAAGTGCCAAAGCCTCAGTGTAGCAGCGTACAGCCTCATCAATGTTCCCTGCACTTAGTGCCTTGTTCCCTTGGTCTTTCAATGCTGAGACCTGTGATCCAGAAAGATAAAATCAAATTAAGTATTAAGCTGTGCAAGAATGAACAAATTCTTCAAAATACGTCAACTCTCCTGCTCCGACTTCTCTTTAACTCCTACACAAAAGAAAACAATCCCCAATATAGCTCTGACTCTGGAGTAAAGACATCTTTCACAGCTGCCACTGGCAGAACTGCAGGGAGAAAGAACAACCGCACAGCTGTTCATGTCAGACAGGTGCAGCAGTGACGACAAGTAATTAAGTGTCTTTGTGTTAAATGCACTTCAGGGTGACAACAAGGCCAAAATCTACATATGTAGGTGCTGGGTGAACAAACAGAATAAGCTCATGTGTTTAAATTTGTTCACATTTGTTAAAACTTGGAAACCTAAACTTTCCATTAATGTACCTGTAACAACTACTGTTGTTGTTGTTGTTTTTACCATGTTGGCAATTTCTAATGCAGGTTTTAAGTCACCTATTCTTCCTTGGCCTTCAGCAAAACTCCTGCCATATGAACAAGTCTCATACACCATACTAGTTTGTAGCACACAGAAATGAATTTCTCACCTACAGAACACAAAGACCATGAAGCCCACCAATCGCAGGCGAGTGTAACTCTCTCTGGGCAGGCCTGAGTGCACCCTCCTTTTTTTTCTCGTCACAGCAGGGAGAGCTGAAGCTTTTTTGGTTTTGAAAATGACAAACACATCACTTGACTGTTTCCTCACTACTGTCTGGTATCGCTCTGTCTTCTCCAGGTGCAGCTATCACTGCACTAAAACCCTTACAATCCAAAAGGTATTACTTTTCAATTCTTGCAAGAATCTACATCCTATACGGTGTATCAATGGATAAACCTCAAATACAGGACAACTACTGAGAAGAATTCCCCCAGATGATATACTGTGTCTAAATGTGTAAAATGTTACATACACATGAATGAAATCAACCAGATAGGCCCCCATGCCGAATCTCAAAATATATGGACTCTGTATTATTTGTCTGGAGTACTGCCAGATCTGTGGCATATCATCACTCTTTGACACCCAAGCGTGGAAATACTCCACTGCCATCAGAAATATGCCACATGTGGCATTCATCATACTGCCTCAGTCATGTCAGAAAACTATCTTTATACCACATTCTGATCTGATAGTTTCAAAGTGGACCCGTTTTGGAGATCAGATATGATCCAGAAATATCATGCCATGCTACAGTCAGGCAGTATCCAGTTCAGATTTCATCATATATTGATTTTTAAAACGTCTGGGCAAAACCATCTTTGAATTCTGAGGTATTTTGCACAGTGTGTCAAACTCTTCTTGGACCACATAACTGTCACCTCTCCTTCATTCATGTTAATGGCACCACCACACGGGTTCATGAAGTGATGATGTAGTGAGGTGACGTGGCAAGGAGATCTATATGGAGCTCTTTATTTATTCAATTAACGCATCAATAATTGCCCTCAGCGTATCAATGATTGTTTCACACAGGCCAAGGCAACAGAATGAAATATGAAAAATTCGACTGCACAGACTGCATGGCTTCACCTCTTGTCACTTGTTTGGTTGTTGGGTTTGACAAGTTATGATGTGACGTCTCCACAGTATGTGACAGATGAAAATGCAAACAGAGGAGAAAGGCGGACTAGGCTGTTATAATTAGAGACACTGAAACCCCTCTGGCTTCATTTGATGACATTACAATAAGACTTTGAAAGTTGATTCATGCTGATAACAATTAAAGAACAAAATTGTTGACTAACAAGGCTTTCCCTTCACTATCAGTAGAACCCAATTTCAAGTGTACACCATAAAACATCACAATCCTGTAGGCAGAAGACAACAGAATCGAATCTTAGTGATGTTGTGGACTGTGATTGGTTGTGCAGTAAAAACTGCATTTCTTTTTTTTTTTACTTTATGAACATTTCTCTCAGTTGGAAGTTATAATTTATCAAAACATCTAACCAGAAGTATCAGGAAACACTGACAACCAGAATTAACCACATGTAGTGTGGCCCAAAGTCATTTTACAAAGCAGTTCCCTCGTTCTTGATAAAAATAACAAAGACTATATTGAAAACTAGTGCCTACAACAACATGATGTATTCTTGAGTGAAAGAATGACAGAATGATTCATTAAAAAGGAACTGATGTTTTTTTAATGATACACAGTCCATATCATTAATATGGTTATTGACACAAATAAAATGAGACCCTATCTTATACTGTGTAGTGTGGGTGTTAGTAAAAGTACCAGTAGTTAGCCATGTTCTATTTGGTCCCGCATATTTACGTTTTGATTGTTCAAGGTAAATAAAGTAGAATATTAAGGCCATTAAAATATATGTTCTGGAAACCCTTGGATTTGTCACTGTCTGCTGTCTTCTACCCATGTGTTTGATTCCTCCTAGTATAAACACTTGTCTCTGCCCTCTGATGCCCTCTTTTGACCCGTACTGCACTCGAGGCTTAATGACGCTGCCATAGTTCATAACGACTGAGCAGCTCAAGTGAAATCTCTTGAAAAATGTCTAAAATGCCATAAAGTCAAACACTGATCTGCCCGAATGGAAAAGATTGGAGAAGAAGACGCGGCAGCTGGTGCCAATATGCGGCTGTAGCCATGACAGCAGCGCGTGTGCATCTAGAATGATCCTCCGGTCCGAGTGCAGGCTGTGGAGGGCAACACTGAGGCCGATCCAAAAATACTCCTGCAGCATGTGCCACACACTGTCCGCCGCAGTTTTTAATGACAGCTCCATCAACAACTCTGTATGGAAACACTACCGACATACTGACATGACGCGTTTGTTCGTGAATTTAAACGGAGAGCGTTCACACTGGGGGCTAAAGTAAGCTCTGAAGGGTTTGCTAACTCGGGAGAAACACAGGATGTCAGATCCGGTGATTTGCTATGAATGAGCGAACTGCTATGCTATACTTTGTTACATCAAGGCATAATCAATGATGGCAAAAGTATCTATGACCGTTTTAATACCAACGACAATAATAAATTAATTAATGTAACAATTTCAAATCAATTGGGTTAGCTTCACAGGAGGCTAACCTTGTCGTGAGCAGTCATATATTAGCCACAACCGTAAGTTGTCCAAACAGTTCACCTAGCTCATCCTGCTCCTCATTTGGTTTCCAATTTAGACATGTTTTGGTCTAGCTGTCTAAATGTCTAATTTTGGGCAGTGTAATCAAACAATAACGCGTAAAATACAACACTAGCAGGACCAGTTACTTCCAGATTGATGCTAAAGTAACACGCTAGCTAGCTGTGGAATATTAGCAAACAGTCAAGTCCTTGTTTGAAAAGGTAGGTAACCACAATTACTACGAATTACTAATAATGAGGATTTGCTGGTTATGACTTTCTCCAGAAAATGCCGCCGTTTAAGAAATGCGACATTGAGAAAATGTCAATTTAAAAGGAGTTGCAGGTTACTCACTTTCTCCATGGTGCAAGCATGAGGTTCCTTCCAGAAACTACTGCGGGTTAGCGCCTCCCCCTGAACAACATGCAGACTACCAGAGGAGGAAGTACAAACTCACTCTCGGATCTGAGTGGAATAGGTATATGAAGCCTATCAACCGAACCTTCCAGAAGATGGCAGAATAAGCTAAAATGACCTATGTCGGATGTTTAAATACTCCTTATATTGGTCGAAGTAAAAGACTGTTTGTCAAGATGACAGTTAGAAATGAGGAAGAAAATGGAAAGGCTATCTTAAACGTCAACAAATCAACGGCTACTGTTTTATAAGTAACTGACCCTTAATTTGACGATTATGATGTGTAAAGCTGTCTCAGAGCCAAAACAACAATAGTCCAGATACATTGAGGAATAAAACAGCGTATAGATAGGGTTGTGGGAGTTTATGCAAACTTATTAAGTAATTTCATGTCATTTTTACCATTTCACCAAATGTCATCTATTTGTAAAATCAGAACTTTTTTACCCACAAGCCTAATTGTTACCACAAGACAATACCCCACTACCTTTCCATGTTCTTGAAATTAACTACTTTTAATAATCTTATGAAGTTTCTACATAGATTCTTTAGTATTTTTCTGATACTCTCTCTGAAATTTGATCAAAGCACACAAATTTAAAGCGGGTTTTCCCTGCTCCTACCTGGTGCCAGGCCCAATAAACTCAGCTCCAGTCTTGGTAGCCCTGTCTTCCTATCAGGGGCATCCCAAGGGGTGGCCAGGCCAGGGGTGCTACTAGCCCCACTTCAAGTATGTTCAACCACTTCAAAATCCCAACAGCAGTGCTCTTGCTCGAAGTTTATTACAGGCAGATTGTAATGAACTTACTCTAACATAGGCCTATATTACTTTAAATCTTGAACTAAGTTTGTGGTCCAGAAAGTGAACTGGTTAATGTCCTCACCTAAATTATTTTCCACCAGGGTCCCCTACGCTTAACTCCCTCCTACTAAGTTTTCCTCAAATTAATCACTGTATTCTATCAAGATTTCAGTATAGAAATTACTTAAGAGTATGTTTTACCAATTGAATGTTGGGGGGGGGGGGGAATTGCAGCTTTTAAAAATTAGAAGCACACATCGAACTCTAATTTGTTGGCTGAATATTTGGCCAAAGGTTCTGGCTTTTGCACCCGAACACACAGAGAAAATCTGCTTTATTACAATTAGGGGTTTGGAATTAAGGGTTGATCAAACACATCCAAAGGATTAATTTGACATTTCTCGAAAAGCATGTTAGAATCTGTCCTGATTAGTTCATAAGTATCCTTCGAATGTATACAGGAGCTGGCCACATTGGCAGCACTAATCAGTCTTATTGTTGGTTGAACAACAAATTCTATAATATGCAGAATGTTGCATTAATGTAAGAGTAGGGTTATATTTATAAAGTTGGGATAATTTTTTCTTCATGAGGCCCCAAAACTTCTGGCTGCATCCATGACTGTCACAGGACACAATGTGTGGATATGCTTATCATTCTTGAGATAAGGTAATCAATAAATTGATATAGCCGACTAAGGATATAAGCATTTTCAACATGAGACCAGATATGGTCTTCAAAGAATACATTTAGCAACAATATGTGTGTATTTTTCTTGATATTTATTTTGAGAATATTTAGTATGGTCAAGGTTTAAGGTTGCAGGTAACATTTCTCATGTTGAGTACCAGTGACTGAGTGTTTACAGTTCTTAAGAGTTTTCCATGTTTTTTACTTTACAAACAAAATTCATATCAAATGCAACCTTTTGAATATAAAATACAAGTTGCACAATATCAGTTATGGTTTTACATTAAATATTTTATGGCCACAGAGCATTGATGAAAATGATTCACAACTGAGCAGCTGATTTGTCAAGTTTTCTTTTTCACCCAGAACAAGAGCTCATCAACTGGTAAATTGTTCTCCTGATAAATGCTGCAGTTTTTTTTTAAGGCAAAGGATGGAGTGGAGGCCGTCCTGAATAGACCATTCATGCTGCTGTTGCCATGGATTCACAGACTGAGTTAACACATGACAGAGACACCAGGCTTGTCAAGATCAAAGAGTTGCCTTCAGAGTCTCAGTAAGGATATCACACAGATGTACTGAGACTGTGATTAGCCTTGGGATGAGCGCAGAACCAACCACATAACTGGTAAATTTGTATCCTCAGACCTTGTCTTTTCTTATAGATTCTCCAAACAGATGGCCCCATCTCTATTTGCATCAGTTCATCTCCTGTAAACAATCGTGTGGACAGAGCATTACACACACGCAACGTGGTTACAAATTAGATTAATCTTGTAAGCGTGTCACCATTATTATTAGTAATACCCCCCCCACACACACACACACACACACACACACACACACACACACACACACACACACACACACACACACACACACAAGTGGGAGAGACTTGCATGTGGGCCTATATCATAGACTGTGTATCACCCTTATCAGTTACAAAATATGCACAAAAAAAAATAATAATAAATAAAATAAAAACAATTTTTAAAAAGGCAATTTATGAGGCCAAACTTAATACAACTGGGATTCAGGTCCAATTTTCATATAAGATAAACTGCCAGTAGTACTTGGTGTTATGTTGTGCTGTAATCTGATTAGTAGATACACATTGTTAACCCTGAATTTGTCTGTTAGTTATCCCTATAGTATAGACTGCATACTGTATATATGTATACACTATATATATATATATATATATATATATATATATATATATATATATATATATATATGTGGATGTAAGCTCCTGCTAAATTTAAGTTTAACTTACATCTGTCATATTGCAAAATTCACTGGCAAGATGTGCAAATTATGCAATTAAAGTATGTGAAACAGATATAGAATTAAGTAGACCTGATGTACAAGCTGGTTGTTGATATAATCTGTTTCCGAGGGATGCCGCAATATTATGGAGGTGATTTGGACAGTAATAATTTTATTGTCTTAATTATCTGCCTCAAGTACTTATAATCCCCTCCGATGTCCGAGTTTTTTAGGGGACCTTGAAGGCAACAGTCGTCATTGTTGAGTTTTGGCGCGTTTGGCTTTCCAGGGTGCTGAAGTGGGAAAAATTGGACAGAAGACTACAAAGTAGGTTGATTTAAAATCGTGTTTTCACTTTCGCTATCAAAACTAAGTTTAAGTTTTAGAAACCAAACGTATTTTGTATGTTTTGACTAGCAAAAAGCCGTCCTTTTCACCTGAACGGTACCGAACTCCACGAACTCTGTTGTAACCGCCGTCATCTTTTAAGCTAACTACTGTGGCTGATGTAAGATACATACATTTGCGGATAAACTAACTTAAAAACAAAAAATACAGCTTCAATAAGTCAACTCTGTTGTATGTAGTCAGCTTGAGTCAGTAGTTTATATCCAAATTTAGTAATGCAGACTTAATATGCCTTCAGTTGAATATGTAATTTTGTATTATTTCCTGCTTTCTTTCGTTTAGCTAGCACTGGCGGTTAAAGGGGGTTGCTTGTATTACTACAATGAGAAGACATGAAAATCAGCAAGCCAGACCCACAGCAGGTACTGAAAACGTGCAAAAGTGTGTGTGTGTGTGTGTGTGTGTGTGTGTGTGTGTGTGTGTGTGTGTGTGTGTGTGTGTTACAAGACTGAAGTGTAGTTTAACTGTTGGTGTAATAAGTTGTCAGACATCCTGAAATGGTGATAAAATTCTGTTGTTGTTGTTGTTGTTGTGTGGTACCATTACCAACAAAGACAGAAATAGCTTTTATTATGTTATACTTTGTTGGTAAATACATACACTTTTAAGGAGTACCTTTGGTTTGGTCAGTTGAACTTTTTGACATGATCACTTGTGTGGATTTTTGTCTCCATCAGGCTGTCTGTCTGTGCCACTCTTCAACCAAAAGAAAAGAAACAGAGTCCCACTAACATCAACTCCCTCTGAAAGTGAATTCTTTTCTCACAGTGAATACACAGCAAATACCCCCTCTGTTACACCCAACAACCAGACAGGTAATTCAGAGGCCATTTTAGCTTCTACTGTCCTTCATCCACTAGGGGGCAGTATACCACAGGCAAATTAAAAATTATTCTGATATTGTCATATTTTTTATACAATGTGAATTTTCCTGAACATAGTAAAATACTTTCAAAATCTTTTTAAAAAGAAAAGCTATCCCATGCAGAATCTCATTTGAGCATTTTCATAAAATAAAGGACAGAAGAAACACGTGAAAACATGGGATACAGGAGCACAGCTAGGGAAATTAGAGTATATAATAACATTTTCCTCCAACAACAAAAATTCTTCAGGTCACTATGGGGGCTACCAGACCTCAGGTCAGTCATCTTGTGCTCCACAAAGGCTTCAGTGGAACAGACAGGGCACCTCGCAATCTACTCCACCCCAGCAGTATGGTAGCAACAGACCTGCTCCTGGGCCTGCCCCCGCAATAAGAAACTATGCACCCATGCCACACCCATACAAAGGTGGAGGCACAAGGTACATTTTGTTGTCTTTATCATGACTAATATGACTGTCAATGTTTGACTTAAACACAAACAGAAGTTCAAAAACATTGAATAATATGTGATATTTGGTTTATTCATTTCATTTTTAGCTCAAAGATGGGACAACCCAGTTACTCAGGAAAACAACAGCCCTCCAACCCCAGTTTTACATCTGGAAATGGCCAATATCAAGCCCCCCACATCAGTCCGAGTACACAAAGCAAGCCATCTCCTCAAACTGGGTTCTCTAAAACGGGTCAGCAGCCATCTTACAGACCGCTCAAACCCACACAGTTTTCCCAGCAGTCTAGAACTCCACCTGCTCCTGTCCTTCCACCCAGCAGACCCAAGGCTTATGAAGGGAAGCCACAAAAAAACGCTTGGAATTTCACTAGCAGTTTTGGGCCGCAGAGCACCCTCTTTGATGAAAACCGCAGCACAAATCGCCCTCAATCTGCACGACAAACTCAGAACCAGGTAGAAAAAACTTTGGTGATATATGATTAAAAAAAGACATCAAGATTTTCCATGATGTTTTTAACTGTGTTTAGCAATCATCAGTGAATCAGTGATTTTGTTTGTACTCAGCAGGTAATATCAGAGAAGCCAGCTGTTGAGAACTCGCTGAGGATCCTGACTGCAGTCGTTGACGGGATGAGACACTGGAGCCAGTTCAAAGACAGAGTTCCTTACTTGTTTGAGGTTTTTGGTCAGTTGATTTGGAGTCAGTTTTGTTACTAATAAGTACGATCAAGTGCTTTTTAACACCATAAACTGACAGGCTGCACTCTTCTCTCAGCTACTCTAGATTCTGCTGTCACTCTTGGTCGCCATGGAGCCAAGAACTTCCTCATGAGGGACGGCAAGCAGGTGGTGCAGTGTGTCTTCTATGAAAATGTGAGTTTGGAGAAAACAGTTCCAGAGAGTAAAAACATTATTGTTTTACCTCGACTTTACCCTTGACTGTCCACCCCTTCCACCTTCTCTATCCCCTGTTTCTGGTGTGTGTGAGTGGAAATGCTGAAAGAACAAATGGCATGGAGTTGTAACTTTTTTCATCTGTTTTTCTGCTGTTATTTCTGACTGAATGATCACGCATGTTTGTTTATTATTTGTTCAGAGTGTCAGATGTGTCTGACAAGTTGCTGGCAGAGCTTTTCTGTGTTTTTCTGGAGGAATACTGTCTGCCAAGGCCCCACATTTTGTCTTTCTGAAAATATAGACACTCTTGGGATAGTGATAGAGATAATGAGAAGTTCTCTCAGCTTGTTTCTGCTGGATCCCCTTAAATAATTTGTAGAGTAGCAAAACACCATCTGCCCTTCATAAATGTAGGGTCCTGACATTGCATTTTGGAGATATTGAAAAGTTTTGACACAATAAAAAAAACAGCATTGGGATTTGATTTGACTTTCTCTTGCCGTTTTCCCCAGAGCTGTGTACCTCGACTTTAAACATTGTTTCTGCTTTGTGTTTAACAGGAGCAGGAGCTCCCTCGTCTCATTCGTGGTCAGGTTCACCGTTGTGTTGGCAACTATGACCGGAGCAGAGATGTCCTGGTTTGTATGTCTGTCAGACCAGCCCTCCCATCAGAGCTGAAAAACGCTCGGGAGGCTGTGAAGGTTTGCGATGCAGAAATGAGGGTGTTGGTCAAATCTCTTAGTGAAGTCTGAGCATGTTCAGGTATCTACAACGTACATCAGTATTTGATAGGGGTGCACAAGGGCGACATTTAAAATATTTCATAAGTAGTTGTTAGGCAACTCTTGTTCTAGGAAGAAATCCAAGTAGTTTTTAAAATGTTTAAGGTATAAGTAAATTTTTCACCATTTGCCTTGGATTTGATGAGTTCAAGCTATGTACAAGTTCTGTACTGTGAAAGTTGTTCACTGACATGTTCTGATATTTGTGTTCTTGCAGTTTTTTGTGACAAAGTATGACCTGTTGTTGTACCGAACCAAAACTTAAACTCAAAGTCAAACCTCACTGTTTTTGTCAAACTTTGATTTCTTTTTTATTACAAAGAAAATTCACAGAACAGCAAACATTGTTTAGAGGTTAATTCAGGAAAAAGAAACACGATGAGGTAAAATCTCAAAATATATTTTTGAAAGACGGGGCAGTTAAGAATAACGTGATATCAAGTACAGTTAGTTTATTTACAGTCAAACATCACAATGGGGAAAAAAAAACAATTATTCTACTCTACCAAAACAGTTTCACCAGTGCTGAGACTTTACACACAAATGTTCAACAAACAAGGGAACAAGTCCAGTGCAGTCACGCCAGTCATTCCCACAGTCAAGCACAGTATGAGGTCCAATACAATACTAACAGTTCTCTCCTGACCTTCGTTCAAATATGGCAACGAAATCACAGTTATTTTCTTCATGTCAGGAAATGTCATTATGGGAACAAAATTTGGGAAATATTGAAGAGTAACCCAATGGCAAAATTTAACCCATTATTTAACACTAATACTCACAGAAACACCCACTAGAAAAGGGAGTTGAGCTGGATGAAATTGGCAGCGTACAGGGAAGGTTAGTGGAGACATTTTGTCCTTGGAGTATGACAGGAATGGTGCCAGTCGTCAAAGGAGAAGTGGGTTGACGAAAAAACACATCAGCAACACATTAGCTTAGTTAAGTAGTTAATTATTTTAAGCCACGTTTCACACATATGTTAATCATGTGTTGGCTCTGCACAGATATCCAGAGGGGAAGTTCAATTTGTACAGCTCCTTCCTCTACCACTTAATTTATAAATCACATAAGACAAGGGTTCCAGGAATTAATCTGTTAGCTTCATGTCATAACCTTTTAATACAGCAATTCAACTTACCTCTCCTACATAATTGGCAAAAACGTCTGAGGGCGTAACTGAACACAAGTACACTGATTTTCTTTTTTTTTTCTTCTCTGCCATCACCTCCGAGGATTAGAAGACATCTTTTTTTATCCTCCAGAAAATTTGCTCAAGTTAATGAGATCATACTGCATCGAGTACAGAAGAAACACTTCACCTCTGAGAGGGAAATATAGAGTAAAAAAAGCACGCCACACAACAGGATCCACAGTTTTCAGCAGAAAAAGATGATAACCTGATACTTGTATTAAACACTTGTCTTAGTTATGTTAAAAGGCACAAGTTGGTCAGATCACATTGAAAATCTAAATCAATTGTCCTACCATTAACAAAGCCCATCTTATCATGCATTTTTTTCACAAAATTCCTACATCTCCCTGCCTTTTGCAATTATTTTTTCCTGAATTAGATACGTGTTTAATGTTGTGTTGTAGACAGAAATAAATTGCTTTAGTTTATTAAGCGAGTCACATTACACAAACAATTCAAGGGAGAAAGGTTGACAAAAGGATCCAGTATCCCAAAATAACATTTTTGACAACAATGCTCTCAAACCACAACCAATCATTATGATTCACTTCACTGTTACTGGCAGAGATTTCCATTTGCACTCTCGGCAGGTAAACGCTGTGTCATTTCTTCCTGACAGTTAGTAAATTCACCATCTTTGAAAGCTAAAACATCTTCATGACTCCCACTTGGTCACTGCCGGGTCGTAAGACTGAAGGGCACAAAAGTCTGACGAGCAAAGTATCCTTCAGAGCACTGAGCTTTTTCTCTTTTTAATGTTTTGTTCTGAAAAGTCAGCTCTGATAAATCCAGACCATATACACAATCCATATGCTTCACCACACTGCATTATCCTTTTAGTTCCTTTTGGATAAGTTTAGATCCAGGAGTGTTCTCTGTATACTTCCATTCAAAGTGGCTCCTCTGACGCCTCCAAAAGTTCCTCAAAACCTTCTTATCAAACTATCTTTTGATTGAACAAATCATGCTGCAGCATTGTCTTATGCTTCCACTCTTTTTATGCATCAAACACACAGTCTGTTTGGAATGTTAAACATGTTGACAAGATATCCACAAAAGTAAAGACAGAAAGCAACACTTATTTTAACATTTGTTAAGTTTGTGGTTATTTTTTGGAGTTAAATAAAATCAGTCCTTGCTCTTTTTAACTGCATTATCCCCAGAGCTTACATGGACCTAAGAAAACATCTGAAAACTAATAACAGATTAGAGGTTAAAAATGAAAACCACAGAGTATATTAACAGAAATCATTCCATTCAAATGAACTTATTTTGAACTAATTACAGAACAGATGCAGGAAGACAGTGTTCGTTGTTGGGTGTCAGCTTCAGATGTTAATTAGAGAGGCTTCCCAAACAGCATTGCCTTATAAAACAACAACACAGGCTTCTCTCCATGACATCAAGCCCAGTTCAGACAGAGTGATCAGGAGGAAAAGCAATAAATATCCCTGCACTATAACAGCGTGGGCAGAGGGGTGGGGGACAGCTGCTCCTTTGGTGCATATTTGGCAAAAAAGGGCAAGAAAACGGTGAGCATGACTCCCACAATTGCCAGCATGTAGCCCCAGCCGATCTGGCACTCGCCGGCGTAGTAGATCTCAGAGTCCCCGCAGAAGGACCTTACGAGGGATGAGTTTAAGCCGAAGGGGTAGACCAGCAGTCCAGCAGCCATGATGAACACTGCAAGAGAAGACAGAAACAGAGAGGACCAAATGGTTAGACAGAGCGCTTCATTAAAATCAAAGCTGTTGGAGGAAAAATGGTAAGATACATATGGAAGATGTTCATGCGCTACCGGGCGATCCTTTAGTAGGCTTTGTTTTCAGTCTAATATGTACCAACATAAATCATAATAGAATAGTATGTGCTATCCTATGATGGTAACATGAATTCATTCATACACATGATAGACTAAATTATAATGACTTAGAATATAATATACAGACATCTGAAAAAAAGGTGGGTCCCCTTTTAGAACACAAATTTCGTCACCTTTTTCTATCTGAATGTGACGAGTTCTTTTATCATATTCAACCACGGAAGAGATACTCCCCACAGCCAAGGACAATAGAAGTGAATAGAATTCAATGTGTAATTCTTCCAGCATTGAAGAGTGACTCACAGCCCTCAGAGTGAATAGTTCTCTGAGAAAATGGCTGGGGTATTCACTTTGTTTATGAGTGTTTATTATATGGATTGATTCAACCTCTCGGTATCCCATGCAAAAGATGTGTATACTGTGTTGGTGTACCAACTGACAACCACTTGGTGGCAGTAGAGATTTTCCACTAAACAACTTGATTGCGAGTCAAGTGTGTAAATTTGAAAGTTTATCATCAGTGAAGTAAATTCTTTTCCCAGAATATGATGATTTGTGGCTTTGTGTTAAACCTATAAAAATACTCTGGCAGAACAGAGTTTTTAATATTTTTAACAACAAAAGCTTCAACTCCCTGTTATCAACAGAAACTTCTGATGGATAAAATAATAAATACTTTTTTACATCCATTTGCAATCCTCACATTAAAACTTTGCCGCCTCATTAAAAGAGCCCTCGTCCTGCACTTGCTGTGATCAGCTCTTAGAAACGCTATCTTCAGCTCCCATGCAGCCAGAGTGAGTGGCTCACTTTTACAAATTGAGTCAAGTCTCCCGGCCTCTGCTGCCAAGCAGTTATCGACTGCGCTACAGGCTATCATTGCTGCTCTTAGTCATCCTGAGGGCCTGCTGGATTTCCATTACAATGCCAGGTGTCATGGTTGTGTTAGCTTTGGAGAGCTAGGGTTTCCAAAGAAGTGTGAACTTGTTCTGGTGAGAATACACCACAAACATATCTTTTATTTTGCTGTATTGATTTGAGGAGATGTCTGTTTTCCTGCTTTTAAAGGCAGCAGCTTCATGGTCAGCAGGAAAAAAAATGCTTGTATGAGAGCCACAGCGAAGTAGCTGAATCAATGGTTTGTGTGGGCCATGAAGGATTGTGTCAGTAGAACAGGGATGAGGAGGTAGGATGCTTTTACTGATGCTAGTTGCACTCTGGGGATCTTGGGATTGACTGTTAGGAGGATAAAGGGAGAATGATGGGGGAGAAACACAAAGAAAAAGGTCTGAATGGTTGAAGGGAGTGTATCTTTGGAGAGAGAGAGGTTGTCTGGCTGGCTGTGCAGTCTCTCTACGGGGTTCATTTGGGGTCTGCCGCTCTCTGCCTTGCGTATCCTTATCCAGTACCAAGCTTCAGTAGTTGCATTTTTATCTGCAGGGGCCCAGCACCTTGAGATTCACTGCCTAATGACACTGTAATGACCTTCCTTATCAAACTATCATTGGCTCTTGTGGAAGAAACACAAGGACTCATGTCCAAAGGCCACTTTCCTCCCCTCCAAAAAGATGGCATATGAAACAAAACAGAACGACAAAGTACAATGGGTAAATGATCCACAACACCTGAATAATCAATACAGGAGTGAAATCTAGTCTGCTGCGCCTAACAAGTGTAAGGTTGACAGGGAGGTGAGAGCTGGATTTTATTTTATCAGACCAGGAAGGTTAGCCGGGCCAGTGTCTGGATCAGATATGCTGCTACCTGTGGTGAATGGATCTTTGTAAGCTTTTAATGAGAGAGGAACTGTCCAAAATCTGTAAAATCACAACCACATCTCAAAAGTAGAAAGGAAGTGAAGGAATAATGTCCTCTGGGTCAGAGAAAGGTGAAACCAAACATGAGTGGGAGAGGCTACACACAGTTTGTATATCCCGTTTTAGGCAGTATAAGATAGTACCAATGCATATGGAAAAACATGTAGAAAGAAATTTTGTGGCTCCAGAGTGAGCTGTGTTAAGTCTGACATATGACTTCAAGTAATGTCACTTAAGCTGGTATATCAGTTTTTATTTACTGAGGGCTAAAGTGTAACAGAAGTTTTCACCAGACACGAAAAGCGCAGAGATCTTAATACTTTCATTTATGTAGACGTGAAAATACCACCCACTACTTGCTGACGCTGACGCTCTGATTAAGGTCTACTGTCATAATGCTTTAACGCTCTACTACCAAGATGTAAACAATTATGGCATCTAGTAGTGT